TGTTGCAGGAGCGTTTGAAAGGGTGCTGCTTCTCCCCTGCATCTTCAGGTGAAAAGCAAAAGAAATGGCAATGGGCTTTGCTGCAGCCCAGCAAGACCGGTTAGAAGTGGCAGAGGTGGGTGAGTCTTGAGGGTTTTTCTCCCTTGAGCTGGAAACTGCATTTGAGCCCACGGCTCGTTACAGGCAGTGCTAATTGGCGCCGCGTATCGACTGGGCCATTCACCGAGCTGCCACAGAAAGTGTCTTGAATTTTGTCAGAGCAACTTATTAGGGAGCATTAATAAAACTTTTTACCCTAATTGAAACAAATACTTAAATAAAAGTCAAGGCTTCAGACATTAATGGATGTGCATGTGGGAGAGGGAACAGCACACGAGTAACTCGGCTTCCTGTCCTTTTAGGATTGGATAGCAATAGCCTTACAACGATGACAGCTAAATTAGAGAAGATGGCTTTCCATAATTTCTCCAAACAATCACTTAATGGGAGCGGTATAATTCCATAAAATAGGTGAATGGAGTACTGATCCATTTTATGGAACCATCAATAAACTAAACCTTGCCTGCTTTTAAGATTAAACTGAAAAAAAAAAAAAAAAAAAAAAGGAAAAAAAAAAGCCTACAGCCAGGGAACAGAGAAAGAAAGAGTATTTATCTTTACACATAAAATTTGTGTGCTAGTAAAGTGCAGGCAGTGACAGGAATTTCAATTATTTAATCAAAAAGAAAATGAAAGTGGCTTTAAGTGTTGTGATTTGAGCCAGTGAAATCTAATGTGGGCTCACATTGAATATGAGGAAAATGGGAAGAAAATTAAAGCTGCTCCTACTTAAATCATGTGGTTACAAATGGTAAATTAGTTTCTCGATGTTTTCATTTAAGTGTTTAAGTGGAAGGTTTTATTCTTAATGTAGTGTTGTGACACAGAATAAAAACCTTATCTGTCTCTATAGCTTTTTTTCTTCCCCCTCGCTGTGCTGCTGCCTTAGAAGGCAAAAGGGGAAAAAGCTGCAGCAATATTAGACTGCTTTTGTTAAAATTGGGAGGCAATATGCTTTCACCACAAGCTCATTAAGGTAATAGATGAATAATGTCTATTAAAAATGCACTAGGCTAAATGAATTTAATGTGTGTTGGGAGGAAAATTGCATTTGCCAGAAGATACAAACTGGAAAATTCTCCTTTTTGTACTTATTTTGAGACTCAAGTACTGATCTCAGTAGGACAGAAAAGCACAGACGAGCAGACACACAGGCGTGCACATACACGTCTCTTCTTTGGGACCCTGTTAGAAAGATGCATTATATTGCACATAATATTCTAAAATGCCCTCTTAGCTTTGAGGATATTTTGTATGATATGTTGTTTCTCATAATTCTGCTGCTGTTCTCCTCCGTTCAAGTTTATGGTTCTTGACCTGTTGGAGTTCTAGGTTTAGTTTTCCATGTGTAATAACAAATGGAAACTGATTTGCAAAGACGGCTGTAGGCTGTTGAATGCCAAGTCTTGATCCCTCTGAAATAAAAAGAAAACAAAGGCAGATTTTGACAGAGAACAAATACTTTCTTTGCATTGGTGAGCCTGTGCTTACATTGCACTGATTGTTTCTAACATTAGCTTTAAAGAACAGATAACATATTTATGAACTAGGAAACCCCATAACTCAGTAAAATTACTGAGTGGAAGCTAAACCAAGACCAAAAAAAAAAACAACAAAACCCCCAAAACAAACAAAAACACCCCACCAAATTTGTACATCCCACATGTAAGAAATCATAGCATCTTTCTAAGTCTGTGAAGTTTTTCATCACACTTGTCCTGTTTTGAAGAAAGATCATTACATACAGAGTTTGGCATTTTCTTCAGATTGGAGAAGCTTGGGGGTTTTGTTGCATACAAGCTGCAAAACTGACCGTGTAGCCCAGTTACATTTGTCAGAAAGTTACCATTCCCCCTCAGAGCACCTATAGACTTTCAGGAATAATTAAGGATGATCCTATAGCACCGTCCTATTGCCTGAACAGGTCCTGGTCGTGCAGCCCCTGTTTGGAGGAGCGAGGGGCCGGTGGCCACGAGCCTGCGTGGTTCTTCCAGCCTTGCAGCTCAGACTCACTCTGCCATAATGAAGTTACTGCCTTCCCTTTGGCCACTCACCTATTAAATATTTTGAGAAAGTGTATGTTTGAGACTGCTAATTGTCCAACTAATTTGACTGAAATAGGCTGCTCTGTTAAAACCTTACCAAGGGAAAGAGGAGAGTTAGAGAGGGATGTACAAGCCTCATTCTTTTTAGCAGGAAATCATATTAAAATAAAATATCAGAAAGAGCGAGGAATAGCTGGACTGAATCAAATACTGTGGAACTGAATAAATTGAATTTATTTTTTGAAGCGTGGAAAAATCATGCAAATAATATCTTACTAATTTATTATGAGGCAATTGCCTGCACCATTACTTGTTTCAGATGACCCAGAGCATTTTAATATTTCCATTTAAAAATAATACTGACAAATGTGACAAAGTGTTTTAACATTAGACAATATTTTATTGTCATTTGAATACCTCATCCTTGGAAATGTATAAAAAAAATTTCAAAATGTAATTCCCAGTTTTAAAGCATTATTTGAAGATGCATTTGTGAGATGCTGACTAGATTCTACCTTTTTCCCCCAGACCTGTCATCCACTTGTGGAGTGCTTAAAATAAAGTGCACAGATACAGAGTAAGCTGAAACAGTCAAGAAGCAATATAATACAAAAATGTTTCAAGTAAAGCGTGTTACTCAGATCTTTCTAAAGTACATTTCTCCCTTTATTCTGAAGGCCACAGCACAGACAACTCTGACTAATGCAAGTAATGGAACCAATCTCTTCCTTTGATCATCAAAAAGGTTATCTTTTTTGTAAACTAGGTGCAACTAGTTTTGCAATCTGTTTGGAGCAAACATGAAAGAAAAAGGTTTAATTATCTTTCAATAAAGAATGATTCCTTTTCTTTTAACAAAATGATCGGCTAAGACAGCATCGGTTTGTGACTGTCACTGTGCATGTGGCGCACACGGTGTGAGAGATGTAAGACGTGATGTTTATGTACATCTTCTATCTCAGCATGATATAACAGTTCGTGTATTTAAACTAGGAGAAAAAAACTAAGCCAGTACGTTGAGGCTTGTCCTAAGTAATTTATCAAGTCTACTTGCTAGTAGAGATTGACCTTTTACCTGAAGACTGAATCATATTTACAAAAGCTTAGTGTAGAGTTTGTAAATAGTAACAGATTAGTTAAAATATAAATACAGAAGAACCTAGAGGCTTGCTAGAGATCTAAAGCTAAGAGAAAGCTGATCATTCACCCTATTTATAAACATGTATTTCCTATGTATGTATTGTGATGTATCAAACATAAATTAAAGAGCTAGAAAACTGATATGCTTATTCCACAGGCTACCTAGGTTGGACCTTTTTTCTGAGTTTGATACAGGAGTTATTGGATGAAACTCTGGCTCGTGTGATTCAGGAGGTCAGACTGAGTGGTCATAATAGCTTCCTCTGACCTTGGAGTGCATCATTTGTGTGCTTTTTGTTTTGAAGGCTTCAAAATGAGACCCTTTAAAGTTGGAAAGTAAAGAGTGGAATTGAAAAAAATCAAAGTATTTGCATCATTTAGATTTATATGTTCCATTGTTTTTCATACAAGTTACTCCTGATTTATGCCAGCCTGAGATCAGGCTCGAGGATTATATGTTCAAAATATTCCTCTAAGTAGAAAGGGCATATGAGGTTTTCATGAGGAACCTGGAGCTACAAATAGAGTATGACAAATAATCAGAGGAAAAATACAAAGAACAATAGGAAAACAATGGGAGTAAAATAAAGGTTGAATGGATAAGAAAGGGAAAAAGAGGATTATCCTGCCCCAAAGGTTAAAAGCGAGGATGTACAAGGTTCGTATGTCATGAAATTGGGGAAACAAGGGAGGTTCTGAGTCATTAGAGCAAAAAAGTGAATCAAAATGTTGCGTTTTGCAGATGATTGTTACACAGCTGGAATGAAAGAAAATGCATAAGCATTAATGTGCTACAGGCGACAGCAAAGCAGGGACTATGGCAGCAGGAATGGATTTTTTGAGAGCAAAGGATTAGCTGAGATCCCAAAGTACAGATGGTCTTGGGTGAAATAATCACCTTTGCCTCGAGGGAGTAAGCAATGCCCGTGGGTTGGTCACACCATGAGGAGGAATTGATATGTAACCAAATGAAGAGAAGACTAATTGAAAGCAGGTCCCAGAGAAACTTGTAAGCCTCCCTCCCAATTTCTGACTCATTCCAAAAAAAAAGAAAAAAAAAAGGAAGAAAGAAAGGAATAATCTTGCTGCGTTTTGGAACAGTACAGATAACTGCTGAAGTTAAATGCAAATATTAGATAATTAAAAAGATCCTAGGTCTTATTTAATAGAGACCCTATTTTAGGGAAAATGTTTAGGCCAAACCTATAATTTTTCATTTTCTTTATGTAAGCACCCTGCCTTCAAAAAATGTTCAGGATTATGAAATAATGAGGTAAATTTTCAGTACAGACAAAATTCTGTATTTAGGAATTAAATTCCTGAGCCCACGCATAGATAGTTGGGTTTGGGAGCCGTGTAAGGAAACTAGAGACTCATCTTTTACTCTCTGAAATAATTTTTGCCTGTCATTGATGCCATATCCCTTCTCCTCACAAAAATTCTTGCAGTTATTGGTAGTGATGCAAGCCTCAAAAGTACCTTCCTGTCTCAATCTCTTCTTAATGTGGCCCCCCCACGCCAGCAACACTTCCATCCTCCCCTGTCATTTTTACCTACAACCACAGCCCTGAAATTACCATCACCTTTGTGGGTAAACTCAATGATTCTGTCAGAATAATACAGACCCAGCTTTTAACCTGAGTGTTTATTGTGTTGGAGTAAAACTAACAGGCTGATTATGTCTTTGTTTTTCATTCTGTCTTCTCTTCATCTCAGCTACAAATGAAGGAGTGTGCCAGTCTGTGGGATGCAGGACGAAATATTTTTGAGGCTGCAAAAGCCAAGGGGTGGCAGAGTTATGAGCCTTGGAAGACCTGGCTGGATCTTCTGGTGCTGCCATCAACCCCAGTTAGGAGGTAAGCTTTTCTCTGACACTTTCTTTCCACCCTCCCCAGCCCTGTCCTTTGCATTATCCACCTTGAGACAACCTGCCAGGACCTGTTGCTTTAGGCAGCACTTGACCTCCAAGCCCATTCCCCGAGACCTTCTCCAGTTTGAGCTGGTGTCAAGGCATGCTAGAGGGTTGCCAACATTAAAATATTACCTGTGGCAACACTGAAATGCCAGTAAAAGCTTCAAGTGCAGACCTAACTTAGCATTGGAGGGGCTTCCCACCACTTTGTCATGTCAGGTAAGCTGAATTTATAAAGCCTCTCATCATGAAGGCAGCACCCTGCTCCTGGCAGCCAGGATTTTCTCCAGTGAGCTTGCAGGGTGGTAGGAGGCAGGGTTGGGCACAAGATGAGACAGGTCTTGGAGACCTGCAGAGAAACGGTGGATGTAGGCAAAGCAGATGGGCTGTAGATGGGGAAAGTGGCTGTAGTGAAGGACAGGAGTGTTTTTCCCTCTCGCCCGCAGCACCCAGTGAGCCTCTGGGCAGAGGCACCCTGCTTCCTCGGGGTGGGGAGCGGTTTTGCTTGAAGCATCATGCATGGAACATTCTCCATTAAGCCATGCTTTGTGTTCAAAAGACCTCTCTCTATGTTACGTGTGTGGCTACTCAAACTGAGCTCTTCAGACCTCTTTCCTGCTGCCAGGCTCCCATTTTGATCATATCAAGGCTGTCTGTTTTTAATTTAACCCTTCCTTTTTGAGTGGATTTGTCTTGAAAGGCATGAAAAGGCTAGGCTCCCAAGCTACCTTACCTCTTCAAGAGCCACGGGAAGGTAAGTGCATGTATTTTTAAACTGCACCAAATTTGTCTCTAATGCAACACACTGAAATAAAGCTCCCAACATCAATGTAGCTGCACCGACCTTTTAAATGACCCCCCTAGGTTTTAAGTCAAATAAATTTCTGTTTTCCTGGGAAAATTTCCCCATAATACTTTCAAATGATCTTAAGTGTTCAAGTAATGTCAACTGGTGTTTATGTAAGCAAGGCACACGTGTATTATGTGTGTTATTAAATCATGAAAGGGGTAGCTGTGTCTATACATATATAGGGGGGATATGCATGCATTGCTACCAGCAAAGTTTATCAAGCTTTTTGAGCCTGTAGAAATAATTTATTTTTATTGAAGAAACAACAAACTAAACTCCCCAGTAGTGTAACTACCTGGGTTCCCAGACCTCTGGAGGAGGCCTGTACCATTTGGGGGTTGTGGGCTGAGATGTTACGCTGTCCCACTGGGTGTTTGGGGGAGGATGCAAGAGCACAGCATCGAGGGGCAATTCTGGTCCCCCCTCCATGGGAGGGGAAACACACAGTGGTTAAAACCTGCTGCTTCTCCTTCTCTTGCACTGACCCCAGTCCCTCTCATTTTTTCTCCCAGATGTGTTCCTCAGCCCAGCGAGACCTCAGCTTCTGCCCAGGTTTGGGGCAGTTTCTGCCAAATCTGTGGGATTTGGGATCTCCCAAGTTCTGGGACCACCTCAACAGGGGACCCCACTCCATTGACAGGAGTTCACAGCGGGTCTCTTTGGAGACCTGAGTCACCCCTGAATTTGGCAGCAAAGGGACTTGTGTGTGTATGCAGAAATGCATAGGAATACGTGCTTGTGTGCATGTGGCCATCCAGAAAAAAAAGGGCAAATCTGGGTGGTGGTGGTCTGAGGGGAGGGTTGAAAGTGCAGCTAGGGCTGGGAGTGTTTGGGGGTCCTGGAGTGAGATCCATACTACTGGGTCCCCACCACTGCAGGGACCTGCAGAAGAGGCCAAAATAGGTAAGAGGCTCGTAGGGCAAAGAGGCCATCCTGCCAACAATGCCTGCCGATGGTGGAAAGCAACTGGCAGCCCCTTCCCATCACAAAAAGCCATGAAATAATTTAAAAAATCCCTGTGTGTGAGGACTGCAGTGCAGACGACCCCCCTTCCTGGGGGTTATCTTCTTTTCAGGGGACTTCTCCACAGATGGGGAGTTATCACCTCTGCTTCTTGCCCTTGAATTAGCACCAAGGAGAGGCTGCAGTGCCTGAAATGCCACTGCCTGGTCTGGGGCCGGGTTTTGCTGCTGTTGCTGCAAGGTAACACCAAAACAGTGACCGCATTCCCCCCTCCCCAGCTATACCCTAAATAAAGAGGGATTCTGCAAAGCAGCCCCTCTTGATGTGGCTGTCAGGCAAGCAAGCTCTTGCCGGAGTCCTGAAGCTGTGACCCAATCTGCCTGAAGTAACGTGTCTTTAATCTCTCAGATCTGCTTTAAAAATATATGTATGTGTGTATATATATATATATGTATGTATGTATACACTCCCCCCCCGTGATGAATAAAGCCCCAGCCCTCCCGAAGAAGCAATCTCAGCTGATGAAGTGGCCAGTCAAGCTGCTTACACGCCCCTGGCTGCGCTCCCTCCATTAACAAGTCGGGCATTAGACCCGTTTCATCACTGTTGATTCATTTGCTTACTCATTTGCTCCTCAGAGAAAGTTGTTAGCCTGTTGTATTTTTAAACCCTCAGCCAAAAACCCGGGCTGATGCCAAAATGGGCGTTTCAGGAGGGGACGCTGCAATAGATTAATTTTAAATTTATTTTAATTTTTTTTTTTTTTTTCCTCCTGGAGAAATAGAGGGAGTTTTGCCGGCAGCGCCGGCAGGAGCGCAGCCTCCGCGGGGCAGCGCGGAGCTTTCCGCGGGCTGCAGCGCGCCTTTCCCCCAGCCCTGCCCCTCCCGACGCGCTGCTGCCGCGGTGCGCCCGCATCCATACTGTGCCGGCACGATGTATAGTTAGGTAGATGGATATACGTGTATATATATATATATATATACACACGTGTCGCTGAAGCGCGTGGGGAGCGCAGTGGTCCCTGCCCGCGCGTGGGCACTACGCGTGTGAAACGAAGCGTGTGTGTGGCTGCTAACACGCACTGCCTATATATGTATATATATATATATATATATAAAAGACCGCTCCCGTGGGTCTTTCCCAGCGAGAAGAGGAGCTCTGTGCTGCTCTCCCCCCCCCCCCCCCCCCCCCGAGTTTTGGCCGAGGGGGACTGATGAAGGAGCCGCATCTGTGTTTTAAAAGCTGCCACGCGTTATAACCAGTTGTTCTTAACAGCCCCGGTGGCTGCCCCTGCCCTCGCCCACGCGTGGCTGTGGCGGGGAATAGATGGCACCGCTGGAAAACTCGGGTGCTCCGAGCTCCAGATTCATTAAAACCGGACGATTGCCATTTCTATTCTTTTTAAATGTTTTTCCTCATCTATTTACCATTTACCAGCTCATCCATATGGAAGACATGGCTTACACTTCCCTGAGAACTGTACTTTTAGGACTAATTGATTCTGGTAATTAATTTGTTCTACCTGCTGGATCAGATGGAAATGCTGCCCGTGTGCCCAAGGATTAGCACTTGCCTTTCTAACATCTTTCTTAATTATCTAATAGCATGGGTTGTGCGAATTCTGGCTCTATTAGAACACTTTTACTATTAACGGTAGTGATTGGAATTGTGATGACAACTCGATTTCAACAAATTAGAGCTTAAAATCAGGAGATGAAGGAGAAGTGCCTTCTTTTAATTTCCCTGAGTTTAACATCAATAATTGGAGCAATTTTCTGAGATGCGAACCGAAATTATCTCGGCTATGATGTGGTATATCACCCTCATTTTAGCAAATTGACTCCGGGGAGATGAATGGTACAGATTAGGGGGGGGGGGGGGGGGGGAGGGGAGGGAGGGAGGGGAAGACAAACAGAGGAAAGACACAAAAAAAAAAAAAAGTGTTAGCACAACACTGAGCAAAACCCCAACGGGGTAAAAACCTGAGCGGAAAGGCACAAGCTGCATGCGGGGGACAAGTTAGGAGCGGAGCGTGGGACAGGTCGGGAAAACGCCACTATATTTTCTTTTTCCCCAAAAGTTTTTGTCTTTTTTTTTTAAAAAAAAAAAAAAAAAGAGGAGAAAATACTAATATTTGGGAAAACGTCCCCAGCCCTCCGCAGGGACCGGGGCTGAGGGCTGCCGCTCTGCGCGGGGGAGGCTGCGCGTCTCCGCGCCCCCTCCGCGCCCCCTCCGCGGTGGTTTGGGTGGCCCGGCGGGCCCGGCCCCCCGCCCGCCCGATCGCCATTGGCTCGCTGGAGAACCCCCTGCCCACCGCGCCTCAAAGGCGCGCATCTCCCCGCGCAGCCCAAACCCACCCGCCTCACATCCCCCGGCTCCGTCAGTTTATTTCTGGTTGGGGGATTATATATATATATATATATATATATTTTTAAAATTAATTATTTTGCTCCGGATTTTTTTTTAATTGTTATTTATTTATTTATTTATTAGCATTATTTTTGTTTCTCTTGGGGCCCGGGAGGTGCAGCCGGCCGCCCCGTCTCCTCCATCTCCTCCGCCCGGCTCGCTCCCTTCCCCGCTGCTCGAGGCGGGACACAACCGAAATGAACCTCAACTTCACCTCTGCCGTGCACCCCGTCTCCGCGCCCAGGCCCACCTCCTTCTTCATCGAGGATATTCTGCTGCACAAGCCCAAGCCCTTGCGGGAGGTGCCCCCCGAGCACTTCCCCGGCTCCTTGGCCTCCCGCGTGCCCCTCTTGGACTATGGGTACCCCCTGATGCCAGCCCCGACCCTCCTGGCACCTCACCCGCACCCTGCCCTGCACAAGCCGGAGCATCATCATCACCCCTACTTCCTCACCACCTCGGGTAAGTGCGGCCCCTGCCCAAGGGGCGACCTGAGGAGTTTTCGCGTCCCGCTGGCATCGAGGTGGGGACACGGGTGGGCACAAGAGACGGGACATGCTCCAGCAGTGGAAGACAAGTCCCTCTGGGGCGAGCGGGGGGTCACCTCTCTTCATCCTTCACCGAAATCCTGGCTGCGACCCTCCCCGAGCCCCCCTCGCCACGGGGCAGCCCTCGTTATCGGGGAAAGGAGCCCACGGCCCCGCAGCTTGTCATTCATTCGATTGCCTTTAATTTTTAAAAAATTACTTGTATTTTTGGACCGATAGCATGTCTTTTAGCCTTGCGCTGTCCCTCCAGGCGGTGACCGGGTTTCGCTTTTCCCCCCCCCGGTAGCGCTGCTGGGGCGGTCCCGGCTCCCCGCCCCGGGGCTGGCACCCCCGCTCACCCTGCCCGGACCCCCTCCAAAGTTTTCCACCGGGCAGCCTAAATTGTGCACCGGGATGTCCGTGGAGGATCGCTCTCCTCCCAGCCTTTTCCAGTCCTTCCCTGGGCTTTTTTTCCGCGCTCATTTCGTTTTGGTTTAATTGCCGGGAGGGTGGAGGTTTCCCCGCCAGCCTGGCCTCGCCGGGCTGACCCCTCCCGCCGCAGCGGGCAGGCTGCGAGCGCTGCCCGGGCTGCCTGTGCTGGGGGCGGGGGGGGGGGGGGGGACGGACACGACACGAAAACAACCAAACGACCTCAAAATAAACGAAAAAAAAAAAAAAAAAGAATCCTCAAAATAAAAGAGGCGAGGGGGAGACCCCACCGCCCAGCCGGGGGTCGCAGAGGGAGGAAGCCCCCGGGCAGCTCCCCGCCCGCCCGCAGCCCGGCTCTCGGCCGTGTGTCCCCCCAGGAGTGCCGGTGCCAGCCCTCTTCCAGCACCACGCTCCCGCCGAGCTGCCCGGGAAGCACTGTCGCCGCCGCAAAGCCCGCACCGTTTTCTCCGACTCGCAGCTCTCCGGCCTGGAGAAGAGGTTTGAGATCCAGCGCTACCTCTCCACGCCCGAACGGGTGGAGCTGGCCACGGCCCTCAGCCTCTCCGAGACACAGGTACCCGCCGGGAAGGCGGTCGGCATCTGTTCTCATTCCACGCAGCATCCCCACCTTCGCTTTTTAATTTTGATTTTTTTTTTTTTTTTTTTTTCCCCCCCTTCCCGCCTCCTGCTCTCCCCAGGTGAAAACCTGGTTCCAGAACCGACGGATGAAGCACAAAAAACAGCTGCGGAAAACCCAGGACGACCCCAAACACCCGGGCGGCGAGGAGAGCCGGGAGCCCAGCTCCCCCGAGCCCGAGCTGCCCGAGGCGGCCGGCACCGACCCCCGCAAGGGCCCCCCCGGCCCCTTCCTGCTCCAGGAGCCCGAGGACGAGGTGGACATCCTGGAGGAGGGGGACATCTGCCCCGGCCCCCACCGCCTCTAGGAGGGCCGGCGACCGGCTTGGGCTCTCCTGCCTCTCTCTCGGTGGGGGGGGGGGGGGGGGGAGTTTTGCCCCGCTCCGGGCCCCCCCCCAAGTCGCTCCTATTTCCCCAGCTTTGGGTCACGCCGGAGCCCAGAGGGAAGGAAGGGGGGTCACGTTTTTGGAAGGGGGTGTTGATGCGGGGGGAGCCCCCTCCCCGGCGGGCGGGAGGACCCGGGGCAAAGGCAGCGATGAGCCCGCGAGTCCCGCACTACCCCCGGCTTCTCCCCAGCATCACCCCAAACCTGAGCTTTGCCTGATGGGGGGAGAGCCGAAAAATAAAAAAACAAAAGGGGGAGGGGGGGCGACTTTCCTTTAAGTTTCCCTTTCCCTTCGAAATACCGGACTTTTCTCCGTTCCCTGAAATTTCTTCGATTTAAAAATAAATGTTTACCCGTGCCAGCATGTTGTCGTTACTGAGCGCGGCAGGCAGGGCATGCCTCGGCCCGACCCCCCTAAAACCTCGCCAGCTGGGCTGGTGCTCGACCTCTCCCTCTGTAATGCGGTAGGTCGGGCTTGATCCCGGGCAGAGCTTCCAGGACACCTATATACTCAAAAATGATAATAAAAAATTGTAGAGAAGCATTCAAAAGAAACAGGTAAGACCAGAATTACGGCTTATTTGATTCCGATAGGGGAAAAGGGGAATCCTATGAATAACTCGATGCTGCCAGAGCTGCTCAGAATCCCAGCGAGTAAAAGAGATTTCCTACAGTTTGGAGAACCATCTCCACGGGCAGACTGATTTCTTCACAGCTTCCAGGTGTGAATCACCTTCCGGATACCTTTTTTTTTTTTTTTTTCCCCTCTGAAAGAGCCCCACAGCTGGTCCCCTGTTCGGCTCCTGTTCCCCCTCGCCCGCTGCTCTGAGCTGCGCGCTGTGGTCAGACAGAGCAGCCACCGGCCGCCATCGCTGTGTTTTAATCTTCCTGCCCGGGAAATGATTTTAATTTTCAGGTAAATTAAGATTTTTTTTTAAATTTTACTTTTGTTTGTTTGTTTGGTTGTTTTTTTTTTTTTTTTTTCTCTGAGCTGGCAAATGCGCTGGGAGTGTGGCGGTGGCTCCGCATCTCCAGGGGAGGGCTGGGGCTTTCCTCGGTAAAAACCTGAAGGAGAGGTTGTGTTTGCTCAGATGTTGTATCTGTAGCCCCTGCTGCACCAGCAGCTCGGTGGCACGTCAGTGTCTTGGTAGGTTATTTACATTTCTATGTTTTTCTATAATTTATTTATTCCCCCCCACCCATTTTTTTTTTTTTTTTTTTAACGGGAAGTTGATTTGGTTTACTGGTGTCATTAGCACTTTCAGGGCATTTTGGATTATGGGACATGTGGTTTTGTGAGGCAAGAAGTGTCCCTGTTTAATATATAAAATATAGATGATTGAAATGTGTATGTTTGTTTCCTTTTGGTGGGTTTCCCTATATGTTTTTTACATGTAAAATAATAAAGAACACATATGTGTGTGGGGGAAACACCCAATACCCATCTGTCCAGAAAATGACTAGTTGTCTTTTACACGGTGCTTATAAATATTTCCAGGGCAACCATTTTCATCAACAAATTTTGGTAAAATGCCACTCACCTCCCTAAAAATTATAGTTCTGAAGGTAAACTAAGTGATTTCCTCCCCAAGCCTTGGTGTGACTGGAAGCGCTGCGGAGAGCCACGCGTGGGCTACGGCGGGTCCTTTCCCATGGCCGCGCCGCTGGCTGGAAATGCTTCTCCCAGCTCCGTGGCTCTTCCCTGCCTACGGCCGGGTAGGTGTTGAGAGAAGGGATGTGATGGAAACCGGTCTCGAAAACCTTTCCGTTTGATGCCGTTGTTGGTTTGCGTCCGTACTCTGCCGCCCGCCAAGTATTTTGTTTGTTTTGCGCTGTGCTGATTGTCAGCCTCCCCCCCCCGCCCCGAGCACACGTTTCAATAGGAACTATTAAAAGTGATATAAAAGAGAAGCTTTAACGTGACATTTACGTGATAATTTTTTTTCTGACCATGTCTACCGCTGCTGTTCCCAGGGCCGGGCTCTGTGCCGGCAGATACCTGTCTCGGAGCTGGCCTGGCCGGTCACACTCTGCTGCAGGGGCCAGTGACTTCACGCCAGTCACTTGCCTTTGGTAATAGGGTTGGGCACCAAAATATTTAGAGAATCACAAGAGAAATCCTTTCAGTTGAGTGACAGAGAATGTTAGAAGCAAGTATAAAGACGTAACGGTTAAAAAAAAAAAATGCACCTGAATGAAAAGGGATATTAAAAATCCCGTTTCTTTACATTTCTGTGTGATTACTTGTGCAAAGAATTGTTATCATTATTACTAAAAACAAAGGTATGTAAAAATACTCTGAGCTGGAAAGAACACAAAGCAAAAAGGCGGGAGAAAGTAAAAGTAGGAGATTAAGATGTTCAAGTGACAGATGTTATTGGGCATAGACATGCAAAAGCAACTTTCCCTCTTCATTTACACTGCGTTTTGCAGGGCACCCTGTGGATGTCAGGAAAGCAGTGGTGTCAGGCAGCGGGCACTGCCAGGCTCTGCCCTCCCCACACAGATCCAGGAGTGCACTCGGATGCTGTGTCACCGAGTGCCACCTTCCCACTGCACCAAACACCCCAAAAGTTAGTGCTCGTCTCTGCTGCAGTATCTGGGGCGTTTGCACAGCCATGGGCTGGTGATATTTATAGTTCTGGGGGAGGGAAGGATCCTGGGGTTCGGGTGCAGGCACTGGGAATAATGTGTCCAGGAACGGGCTCTGCAGCACAGGACCTTTTCTGTGCCACAACCCAGGCAGTGCTGCCCGTGATGGCAAGTGAGGTTGGGGTACCTAAAATCTGCAGGTATCCCCCCCCCCGCCGTCCCCTAGGCAGGGCTGCGTTCGTGAGACCCCTCCAGTGGTGAGGTGCCACAGTTTCTCTGGGGCACAGGGGTGTGACAGAGAGCCCGTTCCCCTTTCTGCCTCCAGCATTATCATACGTAGGATGTGCCAGGTCTATGAGGAAGGGTCAGAATATGGAGCAAGTAACACTCAAGTCTCTGCTGCCTGTCCCCTGTCACTACAGGAACCTGCTTCTTCGCAAAGTATTTATGTTGATCCATAAAATAAAATCCACAAACACCCACCTATCTTCACCTCTCTTTGGTTCAAAGCACCTTGGCTTACGTTTAAAATCACAATCACGTTTAAAACGAAAGCCATTGATAGCTAGTGACCTCAGTGGTAAATACACGCAGAATGTGACCCACTCAGCCCCAGGGAAGTCCCAATCCCAGCACGGACACTGAAGAGGTGTGCACTCACCCTTGCAGGTAACAGGAGGCAGCTTGGGGATCTTAGTCCAGAAAATTTAGTGCAAACAAGGGCAAAACCCCGAGATTGAGACAGAGGAAGGAAATAGTCACTACCTGAGACATCCCCTCCCTCACCAGCCAGCTCCTTCCCGGCTGGGAAGCAATGCCTGCCGGGCTGGTCACCGGAGCCTGCCCCTTCCAGATGGTCTGGGAACCCTCTTTTGGGAAGAGGTTATTGTGTCTGGGGAGTGGAGAGGGTCCTGGGAAGAAGGAAGGGCTTGAGGAGGCATTTTGTTTGGTTATTTCTCACAGAGTAAGTGAAGTGAGTTTTTTATTTCCGTGTCTTGACTTTTTCGGTGACAACCGCTGACTTTTTCCTGCTTTCCCTTTGCTGCTCTCCCCAAGAAGCTCGAGGAATAGGAGAGAGATTGTTTAGAGCTGGATCCTTTTTTATTATTTATTACGTGTTTAGGAAATGCTGGGGTGGAAATGGCTTGCAGGAAAAAAATTGCTGGAAATGGGAAATCTTGATAGATTTCCTATTTTTTAAGAAATCCACTTAAGTATTGATTTTCATTAAAATTCTTCTCTGAGTGTTTTTGAAACAAAACTATTTCCTGCTTTATTTTAACACTTTGGTGGTTAATGTTTGTGTTGTTTGCATTAAAGAAAATTTTTTAATGGTCTATAAAATCCTTCCATGAACCTTTGCTTTCTGTTTTAATTTCCAGCATTTTCCTGTGTGCTGCCCTTAACATTTTTAACTTCTATGGGACTGAAAAGCAGTTCTAATCCAAGTTTTTTGCTTCTATGGCCAGAGCTCTGTAAAATTCTTTCTACAACTTCCTTTCAGTGTTTCTTTCTCCTGGACGATGGACTTTGGGCAATTTTTTCTACTGGTTGTCTGAAGGGAAGTTTCTGCAGGCATGGGCCATGCCGGGGAGCAGGGGAGGAGAAGGTGAATGGAGAGAGGACACTGACCACAGCACTGCCAAGTCCTGAGTATTGTAGCCTCCTGAACTGCTGACTTTGTTCTTCGTCTCTTCCAGTCACAGTAACAAACAGCATCACCTGAATTAACTGCAAACTCCTGCTTGGGTGGTCTTACTCAGCTTAAAAAGCCTTTTCCTAAGGTATTTTTCCTAAAGGAAAGACTCAGTATTCTCCAGTGTTGTCTATCTTGCTGGCTTTGCTCTGACTGCTGGAACAAACCCTTAAGTGCTCCTATCACACACTAGCCCTGTGGTATTACCTGCAGCTGCCTGCTCTGCGCTCACGATTATGCAAAGCTCTTGCTGAGCTGCTGGATGCTTCTTTAGCATCTGCTCTATCCCAGTTTTTGGCTCGGGATCACTTTGTTCAAAGCAGGCTCTTTCTGTGCGGCAGGCTGCTTTAACTCACTCCTGCCAGCTGTCACCAGTGGAGATCCACTGCCTTCACCTATCACTGTGATTTTGTGCACCTAGAGATCGTTCTCACACCGTGCAGGCAGTCACCGGAGCCAGTCCTTTCTTCACATGCCTGCTTATTCTCATGCAGAGAGCACGTAGGGTTGGGCAACGTGCAAAATAATAATAATAAAAAGGCTTATTCTTTGTGCTACTTTAATTTACTGTAGAATTGATTCCTAATGGGAGATGATAGTGATCAAGTGCTTGGCTTGTGGGCTGTTTGGACACTATAGTTTGTTCATGCCTATTTGAAGCTGCCCAAATCAGACATAATCTCATCTGGTTTAGAATCCTCATCTTTGAAAGTTTGTCTTTAGAGGTGTAATGATGGGACATGGCTTTTAGGCTCTGCCTTATTCCTTGTTTTTAACTGATAAACCAGGACGTTTGAGATGGTGGTGGGAAGCCGACTTCATGGACCTCCGAAAGGCAGGTGATGGTGATATTATTGCAGCAGCACTGCTCCAAAGTAGGACTGACCCTGGGTCTTTGACCGCTTCCTGAATCTAAAATATTTAGAAATGGTGGCACTGGAAAGGGCCCACCAAGTAAATGTTGAGAAGGTCTACTGGGTGGTGTACACAAACACATTTCTGCCCTGTGAAGGCAGGCTGTGCTCACGGGGAGCAACACGGTGCTCCGCAGTAGCCACGCCGGAGCCGTGGGACTGTGGCAGGCAGGTTCTACTCCAGCTCGATCTCTCCCTGAATACTTAATGCAAAATTCAAGGCCTATTTCTTATTTAAATTCCTTGCCTTCCTAATTTGAAAGACATTAAGTTTTGGCCTTTGCTTTTAAGCAGATGGATGCTCATCATTTACTTGTATGGTCCCTTTTTGTGCCACCATATCTGTTAGGTGCAGGAAAAATTTGCATTAGTATTGAGGTAGATCAAAAGATTTTCCTTCCACATATGCTGCAAATGATGTCTCTTTCTGGGAGGAGAAAAAAAAAAAAACAAAACCAAACCAGTCCTTTCCAAATGGTTTGTGAGATGATAATGAAGAGTGTTTTTTAAAAAAGATCCATCCCCATCCCCCCTAGATGCAGCATCATGTAAATATACCTGGCTTCTAGTTTAGCATGGGTTTATTATTCAAATGTTTCCTAAAAGTTCATTGTTTTATTAAAAAAAAATCCCAGACAAAACACACCACCCACCCAGAAGGATCACCCTAATTTATGGGAGCTCTAAAAGGTAGTAGGATGACAGATAGGGAGGAAGGTGATCAATTAAGACATTAAGCATTTTGCACCACATGGACGCATCTGCATGTCAGCCAAATAATAAGGCCATCAGCTCATTTTCAGGGGGCTGTTGCCTACTTCAACTCAATCCTCAGATCAAAGAGAAAATGTCTGCTTGCATTTTCTAATCAGAAAAGGGATGCTAATTTAGGTTCCTTAATGTGTGGTGGTAAGAGACTTCTTCAATTAACTGAATTCTATAGCTCAGAAAATAAAAAAGGGGGATACAAAGGGAGTCAGGCTGGAAAGGCAGAAGTTCTCATTAAATCAAAGGTCCAATATTCATTACCTCCAGCATCTGGGGCTAAACACTAAACATGGATATCATCAAAGGGGGTTTAATGGGTTAAATTGAGAATATAATCTAATTAAAATATTAGATACGAGTAAATAGCTCTTTGATATTCATCTGAAGGTTTCATTAAAATAGGTACTTGAGGCTTGTATTAAGGGGGGATTATCACTTTTAAGCAGAAACAACAAGTTGAGGTTCCCTAATCAGAAATGGTTCAAAGTGTTACCGTTTGGTTTAAAAATAAAAGTAGAAAAGCAGCAACGGGCAGAGCATGGAAACATTTACCCAGCCCAGCTTGATGGATCACACCACAGGCATGCATGTTCTACCAAGGGGGGCAAATGCAGTTCCCAAAGGCGAGGAGAAAGGAGGCTGAGGCAGAGGATGGTCCTCTTCCAGAAGTTGCAGTGGACATTTGAAGACGTCCACTGCTGTGCTTTGATATGCAAAACATTTCCCCTGCATCCTGACCCACCCTGGAAGACGCTTCTTCCACCAAGTTTCTCCTAAATATTACGCATGTCACAAACTTCTGCCTGCCAAGTCTAACGGTCTAACTCAGCACGTGTGGTGGGAAGCAACCGACAGTGCGGGGAGCTCCCCATCTCTCGGGTGGGGGGGTCAGGAGGGCTTTAGAGAAAGGAACACGTCCTTCTCCTGTGGCTGAGAGAGGCAGTATGGTGACCAGTTTTTCCCATATTAAGTTGGGAACCTTGACTGGAGGTCCTGCAGGGCGTATTTCAGCAACTAACCCACTTTCAGGAGGACTGAGGCACCCCGGGGACTGTAGGATCTAGGTCAAACTCAGCCAGGACTCCCTAAAATGAAAGGTATGGGAGTTTTCCACCAATCCATGTCACGCCTCCAATGCCTTGACTTCACTGTACACCTGCTGGAAAATGCTTTCCTGTGAGACATCCAGCCAAAGAAATCTTAACCCAGAAATGTAAGTCTTACACGTTTCTGTCTTTACCTTTAAGAAAAGGTGCATCTAGAAAAAGAGAAAGCCATTTCAAAGATATTCTCTTTTTTATTCCTTTTATTCCCCACTTTAGCTTTCCATTGTTAACTTCCTTCAAGGAGACTCAAACTCTTTTTTTTTTTTTTTTTTTTTGTCCAAAGACTCATTTTCTCTCCCCTCCCATGGAAAAAGCAACCTAATAAATTGGATAAAGCAATTACACATAATCACAAGGTGGTGGTTTTGATTTTGTTTTTTAACTAGCCTATTTTCTAAGAGATTTTAGTGTTTTCTTCAAAATTCCCTTGCTGTGTGTTCTAATCACATTTCATATGTTGACTTAATTCATAATTTACTAAGTTAAAGAAACGGAACCTTCGTAACAAACCCATCTGTTTGTTGTTATTTTTATAGATTTAATCTGTTAAAAGCTGTTTCCTCTCAAACATGTAGTTCTCAATTATCCTCAGTTACTCAATATATTTTCCAACTGCTTCTGGCTAGTAACAGAATGTCTGCGTGATTAGCCAGTACTTGTTTTGAATTTTCTTGTCCCAGATGAAGCTTCAAAATTTTGTTCTTGATGTGACAAGTATTCACTAACAGATAACAGAGTAACATTTGAACAATTACTATTGTGACATTACCAACTGCTATGTTTAGTGCACATTCTTGTTTTTGTTCTTACCAGTAATGGATTATTTTTGGCTTTATTTCTGGACAGTCTGCCAAAGTCTCTTCTGCATTTAAAAACCAGAAATATTGCTGGTATTAGGTTCATCAATTGAAACTGATGTTTATTTGTAATGTTTTGTAGATATGCCTGTATGTTTGACATGTCTAAAAATGTATCAGCTGCAGCAAGCCAACAGCTGATTAGTCTGAAAGATGCCACTGCCAGATCAGTTGATTCCAAAGAAAAATAACAACAGAGGTGATCATATTTAAAATGCTACATATGCAACTGTTTCAATTTTTTAAAATTACATATAGTAGAATTGATTCTAAAATTTAACAATGATTAAACTTGAGCCGCTTTATATTTCAGTGTAATGGTAAATCAATATGTGATGGTCACAGTTCATCATTAAATAGTTCAGACATTTTTGCCTTGAAGATATCCCTACTAATTTCAAACTATTTATAAAACATGAAGGCTTCTGAAAGCAGCTACAACTTGCTTCTCCTTCTCGTGTCTATTTTGCAAAGTTTCCAAGGATGCAATCTGAGGTAAACTGTCTCCATATAAAGTCTGTGGCAGAACTCTCTCCTCTTTCACCTCTTCATCTGATTGTCTTGCCATGAAAGTCTTTGGTCTAGGAATCTTCTTAGCATACTCCAGTGCCTAAAACCATGAAAATTGGGGTAACTGATTAAAGGAAAACCTGATCAATATTATCAAGACAATTTAGGTGTTTGTATGTTGAGTCAAATTAATAGTTCTCCTAATTCCTGATCCTGTTTCTGACAGTGTTCAATACTAGATGCTTCAGTAGCGACTGCAAGAAACCTCTGCAGTGGGCAAAATAACCCACCTTAAGAGTATTTACTTTCTGGCACCACTGGAGCCACCTTAAGTACTGAAGCAGTGTTTTTCTTTAAAAAGAAAAAGCAACACAAGTCTATTAAGTTTATAAACGCTTTTTTTTTTTTTTTTTTTTTTCAGTCTCACTAAGTTCTTATCCTCATTCATATCTTATAGCAGGGAGTTCTCCAGGTTACTATGACAGGGATGGAAACTGAATATTCCTATGACAAATTCTAAGGAACTGATGTATCGAAAGGCCTAAAATGTTAAAACAAGTTTTGAAATGAAGTTTAGGTAGTTGTTTTAAATTCTCTGGAACCTGGTTTAATATAATCCCTTTTTCTGTACAAGTGAGGATGGTGTTAAGCATGCCAACTATTAACAGGTAACTGTTTCGGAGTAAGGAAAGCATTGCCTCTCACAGAGTTCCCAGGGGTCCGTTATAACCATGCATATTCTATTGCGACTGGAAATTTCTTTACCAATAACACCTGGTCTGCACAGGACCCACACACACTACACAGAGAATATGAACGGCAGCCTGAAATGAACCACCATTCCAATTCCTTTCTACTTCAGACACCCTGAATGTGTATATTCTGAACAAATATACTGTGAAGCAGAGGGGAAAGAGGGCAGTACTGGAATACTGACAGGGACAGCATATCTTGAAGAACTGTATTTCCCACACCGGCCGAGTGTTTATTTTTACCACACGCTTTTCCAAGTATGTATTTCTGTAGCAGTATGTAGGTAAACTTGCACATGTGAACGTGAGATGTAAGTAAAGACTTTATAATGACTGAGAGCACCCTGGTTTAACCTGGGATATTTTTTGGTGTCTGTGTTTCAGTCACATGTATTTGGAAACACCTGTTATGTTCCAAGTGGAAGCTGCATTATTTCGCGTTCTTCGCAAAAGCGTGTCTGGGAAGTCTTCTGAGGGAACCCACAGCATTTTTGACATCCAAAGAATGTATTTTCATCTCTGTGGTTTATGTGAGGTTTGGAAATAAAGGCAGCTAACTGAGGAATGCAACTGATATTAAACACCGAAACTTTTTTTCCTGAAGCATGTAGTTCTCATTCATCACCTTGGAGAAAGAGCTGTTAGTGAGCTTTCAGCACCAGGCAGGTGAGCTCCTGCAGTACTGATTGGATAAAATATATGCTATTTCCAGAGCTTTATTACTTCCTGCAATAGGGAAAAGGTGCTCCCTTTGTTTGTTTATGTATGCCATTGTCATGTAGTCAGTTGTTGCTCATTTGGGCTATTTTTGAAGGCCAGTGAAGGCTAAAGTGATGTTGTATGGGCTTGAGAAATAAGACCAATTACTGTAGCTATGCAACTGAATTGAAAAGAGTTTGTGAGTGAGACTGACAGGCAGGTGGGTAATAGACTAACAAGAGGATATCTGTGGTCCATTAGAAGAGTGCACTCTGCAGTAGTGTGGCCTCTACTGCTGATGTGAAGCAGGGCATGTGCTGCACTAGGTAATGTTCCTAGGGGGGTCCTGCTCTCCTTTCTTCCCGCCCTTTCCCCAGGAAAACATCAGTAGCTGTTTAAGCCAAGTTGAGTGCTGGTAGCTTGGATGGAGTACTGCTCTGTTTCCATTTGGTACACTCTCATGAAGAGCAAGGCAGATGCACGGACTGAAGACTGCTGTTGGCAAAGAAATCAGCAGCTACAGCCATAACAGAATAGATGCACAGATGAGCGCTTGCCAGGAACCCATGAGAGTAGGAGTCTTTAGAGTTAAAAGGAGAAAATCAAAAAGGAGAAAATATTTTAGCTTACTGTGAGTTAAATGTATGCTTTTCTTTTTCTTTCTGCAAAGTCCAGAATCAATCCCTGCATGCATTTTAAAGGGACTCTCTTCTTACCTTCTGTCTTGACACTGAAGATATGACCTGGGGTTTTGTAGGTAACCTCTGAACTGAAGCAATGCTCTTCATATTGTGTTCCTTAATTTGCTTTGCATATTCCTTTTGTTGCTTTAACTTCTCTTTCTGACAAAAGGAAGAAAGCGTACGGTTAATTAAAAGTCTCAGTGGATCCATCAATGAAACACTTTTTACACTGGAGTCTTCCATTTACACCTCTGTTGCTGTTTAACCTGGCTATGCTATTGATCATTCCTCAGCAGAACACAACAGGGAATCTTGATAAATGGCACAGCTTTTTTAGTCGCTCTTCATTTTTTAAGAGCTTTTTCTTGAACCATATTGAGGTTAGAGCTCAACAGAAATGTGACAGGTGCATATTTATTCTGAATGTTTCAATACATCTGTTCAGTTCTAAAGTGGCTTTGCTAATTTCTGTCAGCTTTTGCAATGACTTTTAAAACCTCTGTATTTACTTTTAAGGCCCTGAACGAACAGCTTTATTTACTTAACGGGTATTCTGTCTTTATGTTTCCAGCAATTCATTAAGCTCAAATTCAGCAGTATGCTCGACCTTGCCCCTGGTTCCAGCCAATGTTAATTATTGCCTTTCAATGGAATGATACCCCAGTGGCATGCCAGGTTCCAGATGTGCTATGATGGTGCTAAAAATGCAGAGTCCTGGGCTCTGCACCACTCTGTCCATTCCCATTTCAGATCTCTAAACTGTTTCATTTATGGCAAGAAGGAAGAAACTACAGGGGCTTCTCAATGACTCCAGAGGGATGATCATTTTATCATTTTTCCTGTCCTACAACTTTTCTATAAAGAATGCTATATAAAGCACCTGTTGTCAGATTAATTTGGTCTCAAAGCACGCAGGGTGGAGTTTGCAGCACCTTCAATATACAGCTGCTACCAGACCCTCATTAGCAGCAGAGAACAGCTCAAACAATATCAATTGTTCAGATACTTATTCTGAACAATCTGTCTCCATTTCAACAGGGTAATGTGCATCCAGCTATTTTGTTCTTGTGTTTACACTACTTCTCTTACTTCCACTTTGAAGGTTACACAAACCTTCTACACAGGGAATGACAATGCAACTCAGTCCCATGAGTGTATAATTCACTGATGGGCAATCAGCGCTGTTCAATTCAGTGAACTACTCTCTGTTTCTAGAAATACAAAATTAGAGGGTTAAAATTATTCACAATACAGTTGTCTTTCCTTCTATTTGAATCTCCCCCTTAGGATATCAAGCTAGAGCTAGAGTCGAGGACATAAAGCACCAGACAAACGTAAGTTGCTTCTCAGCAGTGATTTTTTTGCTGTTCTCCCCTGCCTAAGTTCACATTGCGCAACTGAAAAGCAGATCATATAATAAGGACAGCTTACCTTCTCTTTGATTGCTTCATAGTCAGGTCCAAGGCCTCCAAGCTTCACATTCAGATTTATGTAGGCTTTTGAGCTACATGGCTGAAAACCAAACAGCAGTGACAGATTTTCCTTTATATGATTTCATGGAGAGCATAATTAAAGTAAGTCTTGTAGTGGACACCCAAAGTATGAGCAGGATTCAACTTGTTGTCTCAGTCTTACCTCTGGCATGTCTCATTTTAACAATTGTGAGTGACCAAAAAGATTGAGTTAATTGCAGAGGTCAAATTACATTGTATTTCCTTTGATTCTGGATGGGTAATTGCCAATGATCCAAATCACAAAGCAATACTTTCTCAATCAAAAATGATCTTTTGTGAGCTTTATTTTTAAACAGCTTACAGTGACCCATTTGATTGTTATTAGAATGAAACTCCAAATAAACTGTTATAAGAAAAGCAGATACCTGATTTTGGTAGTAAAAAAATAGGCACATGTTAATAGTAATAGTAACCTTTCTTTGTTCTCAAAACTGCAATGGAAAATTGTTCAACTGAAAAACACATGACTTGCAGCACAGCATAAGCTTTACAAGTGCATAGGGAAGATAGAAGATGAGTGACGGGTGACGACATTTCAGTACTTCATAACATTACTATAAAGACTCCAATACTTCCTGAACCTTTTTAATCTCTTTCAAAAACACTGGATCAATTTTTAGAAGTGGAATACATTTTAAAAACTTGTCATTATGATCAGCTCTATAGTAATTTCAATCACAAAATAATGCAGAAACATCAAGAAATTTCTACATGCAAATAAAACCTGCATTTCTTCAAAGGGCATGTTCAAGTTAAACTCAATTGCAGAGAAATTAATTCTATGTATTGAATTTTCTGGTTTATGTTTCTTCGTGTCAGTTATACCTATTCTTTTGTGATATACTTACGCCTAACTTTTAAGGTACTGTGAAGAGTTAAGCATTTAGCTGTCTACAACCAAATCAAGATTTTCTCACTTCATGTGATGGGTATGACTGTATTTGTTTATTAAGAAAAGATGGATTTTTCTGAGAGACATAATCTGTTTTATTCTCTGTGGCATTCCTCACATATGAAGCGTGAGAAAGCTACTGAAAATACAGGACAGAAACAATGGTTAGAACTCAGGGGAACAGAAAGGTAAGGAAATCTGCCCTTCAGTTGCTATCGTAATCCAGCTAATTCTTCTTAAAGGCATTCAAGCAGCAATACACAAACTGCTTCCTAGATGAAATACACGAGTAATTATTCCAGCTTAGTTTGTCTGCCCTGAGACTTTGAGCTAATTTCTTAAACATTGAATTTGTCATGGACACACAGGGATATCTCTATGCTGTTCCATTGCATCTGTGTTAACTGGTTGCAGTATGAAACTGGACACACAGAAAAGACAGAAAGAACCAATTTTTAATAAGGACCAAAATGGGATCATCAGGAGACTTGTAATAGCGTTTATGCCGTTAGCTTTACAAATCCTCTAAGTTTGTTGTTCAGTTAGATTCCCTTGGAAACCACAAGATTTGAGTTGGATAGCAAATGAGCATGACCAGGATAATGGTTTGCTCAGATCTGAGGCCTGGCTACCTGCTGCTCTATACAAATAGCTTTATTCTAAATCATTTTATTGCTGGATAACTTAAAGGACAAACACTGCTCTGTGTGTTCTTAGAGCTAATCAAGATTGCAAATGACATAGGGAGAGGTGGTGGTGAACCACCATGCTGTTTAGACTAAAATGATTTTAGTGTCTGTTTCCACCTTTGTTCCTTGGTTTTTAATGCTCTGGGCAAGTCCCTGTGTGTCAGTGTGCTGTCTGTAACAACTAAATGTTTCTCAATCCCCATTCCTTGGTTTTGTTTTGGTGTTTTTTTTTTTTTTTTTTGGCTAAGGTCTTCGGACTATTAAGAAAACAAATATTAATCAGAGGAGGAAACATAAATGTGAATCCATCCAGTCCACATCTATTTGCTTACCTTCTTGCTGACTTTAGGTTGTTTTTGCTTTTCCATTTGCATGAGATAGCCTTCTGAGTCGCTTCTGCTTATTTTCACTTTATTTCCTTCACTGCTCTCCGGATCTACCTCTGGACCACTTTCTACCTGTGGAATAGGTGGAAGTAGGCTGAACAAGTGTCTGTCATCAAAGTGATCTTCTGTCAAACTAATGATTTCTTGCTGATGTCGCTCCATTGTTTGTGTAAATTGGGAGGTTGTACAAGTGGCTGTTGGTGAACTGTGAACAGAAGATTGAGAAGGCCTCAAAAAAGAAAGGAGGAAAAATAAGAATCTTTATTTTTACGTAGCAGATAGCTCAACAAGCAATTTGTACATGGAATGTTCCTTGCTCACAGAATATACTGGGAACGTGAAGATGGAAAGATGGATATTTCACAATGACTGACTTTGCTTGTATCTAATTGTACAGAAACTCTTTAAAATAAATTCTATTTTAAAAATTTATTTTAAAAATTTATTTATATTAAAAATTACAGATAGGGAAACCTTCAGCAAATGCTTAAGCCAATGAAAACTACCTTTAAACAGCATTGGATTGAGCCTGCTGAGTAGTGAAAGAACTAATTGTCTATGTGAAATAAAACCTTCATTTTTATCAAGGCAGGTAAAATTCTACATAACTAAGGATGTTCATGTCCTTCCCCATGTGTACCAAGCCAAAATTGGCACTGGAATGTCTCTGGATATTCACCCTGCTAGGTGAGTTTTGCTATAACACTGTGCAGCTAGCTGAAGACTTAGTTTACGCACAGTGCTCTTTGCTATCTACTGTCTAGTCTTTCGGAAGGAAACTTTCAGTTGCAGAAAATTCTGTGTGCAAGAGAGCTGGGAGTACAGAACTGTCCTTTTCCAATACCATATTTAAAGGTTAATAGTTATAATGAATCTTTAGTTAGTAGTAATCTATAGTGGCAGGTTTGTAGCAAGATAATTTTATAGTTTGGACTTTAAAACTTTTTCTTATCCATATCTGATTTTTTCTGGGCATTATAGTGTTATGATAATACCGTTTCAACAATTCTATCCCTACCATAAACTATTGATAGCTTAGTTCTAATACCTTTTATCCACATAAATGTGTCTTTTGTAATCCTGAAGTGATACTTGAACCTTCACCAGTTCTTGAAAATTGGCGTTAGAAGTGGATGAAATATTCCTCTGATTTGGATGTGCTTGACCATTGGTACTGTTACCTCTTGAAAAAAGCTGCACAGTGTCATGGTTGTATAAATGTTCTTGGTCATGTGGAAATCCATTTGGAGAATCATGCTGATATTTCTTGTTCTCTTTGCTGGTATATGCTGGAGACATAACCTCTGCTGGGTTAAATTTATGGAATGTTGGGTGAAAAGGACAGGTAGAAGTGGTAAAATCCTGATTAACAAAATGTCTTGAATTCAGGAAATTATTTAAGGAAGTATCTGAATTTGCTGTTGTATTGGCGTCAGGGCTGACAGAAGGACTTGGATACAGCCATTTCTGCAGTGTGCTGCTGTTCTCTTGCTCCGCTGCCTGCATGGGAGCAGTGTGAATTTCTGATATTTGGTGGTGCCTGTGGTGCCAAGACTTTGGTTCTGCTGGTCTTCCTGGTGGTTGTTTGCTTTCATTCCCTGGAAAATCTCTCCCTTTGAGACTGTGGTTGGATTTTATTTTATTTCTCTGGCAGGACTGATTTTGGTGATCCTAAAACAAGTTATCAAAAATGGGGTGAATTTCAGTGGTTGCTATTTTATATGTTCATGAAGATCAACAACACACAAGTGCATGGGTAAATTTGCCTGTCACAATGCCTTTCACATAGCTATTTCTTACAATTTTATACATTAACTGATTAATTGATGTTTGATCTAGGTTACATCATGTTCTATGATTCTAATTCAGGACGACGTTCTTTTAGACAGCCCTTAAAGAGCTGTGCAGGTACAATGAAGCCGAGTTCTGAACATGTACTCAACTTTGAACACATATTGACGTGGTCCCTCGAACAGGCCTGAACAGCCTGGGGTGCATAATCATCTGTCCCTTTAAAAATCAGGGATGTATGGAGCCAGCCACCCCTGTTTGTACACTCACAATTAGAAAAGGGCTGTAGCAATGTTTTCTACAGCTGAATGAGTATCGTGATGGAAATTAGTTTTAAAAGTGAGCTCTTAGCAGAAGGTGAAGTGTAAAAGGAAAAACATCTGTGTCAAAGTCTAGCATGGTACTGAGAACGGTCTGTTTTAGTGGCATTTGTAAGGCTTCAGGTTTGGGGTTTTGAATTAACAAAACATGTCCTGATAGAAGGGCCCTTAAAGAGACCTACATATGGTATTAGTCCTTCACGACTAGGATAACAGTTCTTTAATGTACTGATAATGAGTTAGGTCAGTTTGCACAAGTTTGATTAGACCCATCAAAATCACTCCATGTTGCTTGTATCTAACCCTGACTCAGTAAATTATGCTCATGACTAGACCAAGTGATGGCCTGGCTAGACTTAATCCCAAATTAAAATATGCAGGAACCCCTAGTCAAGAACAGACGCATAGATGCTATTCAGGTGCTGCACAGACAATACATAATACTGCATCAAAACTTTTCTTAATGGCCTGAGGCAAATTCTGAAGCTGAGCACTTTGAAAATAGTTCCTTATAGATGCAGACCATATCTAAAAAAAGATGCTGTGGTAAATATGGAACGAGGGAGTTTTATCTGAATGAGGTGCAAAAATGGGTGCCTTTAAATGCACAGGACTACTAGTTTCTAATCCTGTAGACGAGTGGTAGCTCACTGTCAACCATCTGGGGAAAATGTTTCAAAAATCAAATTGATTCTTGGTTTTTATCCTTTAATGAAAGTAAACTGTACTAAATTTCAGGAAAAGATGGCTATGTACACACTATTAGACTGGTCCACAGGAGAAACAGACTTATGTCAGTGATTTAATTTCTAAACCAAAAACAACTCCTTGCTCTGTATCCTGCAAAACATGACCCAAATGATAATAATTTAAGAATTTAAGCACACCAGGACTAGTGTCTTGAGCTAAACTGACATACTCTAAATCTGGAGTTTACTTAACATTTATCACTTTCCAATTACAGCATCAGGTGTTGCCCATTTTGAGGAAAGACATGGCTTTCCTTCTAGGGAATATACAAATCCATTCTCAGTCCATTTAATCTTTGTCAGTGCTAAAATCCTCCATTTCATCCTCCTCTCTCTCTAGGGTTCTTTTGTTAGCAACACTTGCAATCACTACATAGCATATGCACTCAGAATAACTACTTAATGGTAGGTATTAAATCCACATATAGAGAAGAATGTTTTGGCGAAAGCTTTAGCACTGGGGAATCCTGACTCCTGGTGCCAGGATGATGATTTGTTAGCTCGACCTCTGCTGTAACGATTAGTGTTCTGGCATACTGTGCCACTGGTGGAAAGCGTGAACTGCTGCCAAACTGGGACCAGGCCAGTGTTTTCCCATTTAAATGGAAGGAGCAGCCCTGTAAAATACCTCCTTCATTCTGAAATTCCATATATGAAGCACGTCTCTCACAGTGAACAGCAGCATAAAATCTTGTTTGTCCTTTACAGAGGTGCAGCTTCTAGTCTTAAGGGAGCAGCAGGAAATTTAAATAGTCTGCCTGAATGACTTTAAATACTCGTAATACAAAGAGAGTAACTAGGTTTGCCGAGAATAATTCCAGTTGGCTTCTGATTCTGGTTCTGAAGTTCTTGGGTTTTCATCAGTGATGATAACCTGGTCTCTTTTTGCTCCAAAGACTATCCCATTGCATTGATCTGAAAGTGCAGTGTAAAACAGATCTATAGAGTTATGTGTACGGAGGAGGTCAGTGCAACTTTTTCTGTTTGTAACATCATCTGGTTTATGGTAACCCCTTAATGTTCACAGGGATTTTTAGGGTACAAGTAATGCAAGAGTAGCTAAGTTCTAGCTCAGAATCCTCATGAACCATCAAGCATGACCATGTACTAGTTTGTGCTTTTACATTATTAACAGCCAAATAATGTCCTAAATTGTTAAGGTTCTTTGAGCTCTGAATTGCTTGGGATTTGGGATCTATTCTGATTTAAAATAAATCAGAATATAAAGCAGTATATACATTAAATTGTGATGATTATCTACTGATATATATCTAAGGATTTATCTTCAGTAATTGGTACTGTAAAAGTAATGAGATTACAGCTTTACATATTCAAACTTCAATGCTTTTACATATATATTTCAATTTTCATGTCCTATTGAAAAGGAACCTTGAGCTGCTGTGCTTTCAGGTACCGTTTGTCTTCACGCTCCATCTTCATAGTCTGGATTGGTAGGACACTCTGAACTGGTTCTACATCGACAGCTTTTGGATCTGTAACCTAAAACCCAAGAAAGTCTATGGTCACAGCTCAACCAGATGAAAGGACTTAAAAGCCCTGGGGAAAGAATAAGAAATAATTTGCCTCCTATTAAAGCTAAAATGCTGAAGTGAGGCATTATATAATAAGTAACAAGAAAATGAATGGCTATAAGACGCAATGAAAAAGGAAGAAAAAACCCAATTAACAGTGGTATGGTAGTAGGAGTATTCCTTCTACTTTTAAGAAGAAGAGAGGAAAAGAAAATTGCAGGAAGCGTGCAGCACACAAACCTACTTGTGACTCTCAAATGTCTGGGCTTCTCCACTTATATGAGAGCCAGTAGATGTACCTAACAACAGAAAAACAACTAGACAATCATCATTGTCCAAGCAATCAGCCAGTGTACCAAGATACTGATGCATGACACACACCATAGCAAGGTCTTGAACAATAGAGTCATGCAGAAAAAGATGGTAAAACACAGTATTGTTGGTAGAAAAGTACAAGGAGTAGCTGCAGAAATAAACCATCTAATACACATAGCCTGGCAACAATATCAAACAGCTTGTGCAAAACAGCAAACCCACAAACCAGAACAACATCTTCATGTGGCCACAGTCGTGGCAGCACTATGGCTGGAAATCAAATTTGAGCAATTTTTTGAGGGTGGCTGCTGGCACTACAGATTTTGAAGCCAAGTGATACCCTCGAATTAGAGCAATAATGAAAATATTTCTTGAAAGCATCAAACCTTTTTTCCCAATCTAGAAAAATTCAGGACAAACAATTCTTTTTTATTTTTTATTTACACTTGTGTTGTCCCAAACTATCCTGCTAAGTACTATAGACAATTCTTTTTTTATTTTTTATTTACACTTGTGTTGTCCCAAACTATCCTGCTAAGTACTATAGCAGCTGTGACCTCAATTAAGTGTGCATTTAGGTAGTCTCACTGCAAAGAGACTACAGCTAACTATGTGCTGGACTCATGCTGTGGTAGAAGTACTTATGCACCACTGCAGAGTGACACTGGCTAACACAGGAGAACTTGCACTGAGAAGATATTTGTGACCAGGAGAATTATTAACTGACAATCATAATGGTGAAATCAGTGTAAGGGAAGTGTTAAATCCTTCCGGGGAGCTGAGCCTCTCATCTTTGGGAGTGAGAGATGAGATTAGGACGACTAGGAAAAGGTAGGTAGGGTTTATTGCTGAGTTTTCAGGTGATGTCACTGCTTCAAATGGCAATGTAGATTCTATTAGTTGTGATAAGAAAAGCTGACAAATTAGAAGTTACCACACAGGCTTCCTGAACTGTGGACAGATACAGCTTTGCAGTCAGTAAGATGTTTTTGGTGGAACCAACTGACTCACTGTATTGATAGTTTACTGGGCAGGTAAAGCATACTTCTACATTATCTCTTTGAAAGAGGAACAGGACACAACCTCTGCCAGCATTTTTTGTGAACTATTCTATTAATACCAATCAAATTGAGAAAATGATCAAATGAAATTGCATTTTGAGAATCATAAGCTGTGTAATGCCTATTCTGTTAAATTGAGGCCCATAATTGCTTCTCTACTGAAAAGATACAACAAAGACAGCAATCATGGCATGTCATTATCCCAGACTAGAAAACCGGCCTTTGCAGTGAGGACTTCAAAGGCTTGTGGTTCTCGAATTGCATTTGGCTGCTATTGTTGAAGCGCAGGCAATCTTGATTAGGTGTTTACACTGAAGTAAGGCGCAGTGCACAGAGAGTCTGAGTGCCTTGCTCTAGAGCCATTAAAAAATTGTACATTATGTTCCTTGCTTTGAAGTAAGGGGCTTGTAGGTAGGAAAGCAACTCATATTGAGTACAGCCAAGCTAGATTGGACCACTACTTCTCTCTTTCTTCCTCTCCCTCTCTCTCTCAAAGAAACTCATCATCAGGTTCTTAAAGAATCAGGCAACACCGCAAAGAACTTGATGCTTTATAAAATGCTATATAAATTAGTAAATATACAGATCAACACACATTTATGGTATGTTTTGGTACATACAGCCTGCTGTCTGTATGCACAGAGATAGCAGCTGTAAATCTTACAAGAATGAGGCTGAAAATATTTTACCTAATTTTATGTCAGTTGTAAAGAGCTCTCTGCAAAGCACCTACTTCAATGTAAACACTATTTCATTACCATAGTACCTGACAGCCAACAGTGATTATATCAGTAAAACCAGTTTTGTCATCCTGCAAAGCTCAAAATAATCCAGCTGAGGAAAAAACAGTATTCAGAACATGTTCAATTGCTCCAGCAGAAGACATGTAGTTTGTTTGCTTCTTTTCATACTTGCTGTTTTTCCACTTCTGATACAGTTCTCCAGGTGAGGTAACCAAAGCTGGCTCGTGGGCCAGCTCTGGTCAACAAGACGCTTCCACCAGGCCTTCTTTCACTGCTTCCAACAAGATGGAGCAACGGATGTCTCAATTCAGGACCAGAGAGGCAAGTACTTCTTCCTATGCCTATCTGCAGCAAATACAAAGGTGGCTGACAGGAGGCGGTGATGCTGTTGCGGCTGTATCAACTTGTTGAGGAAAGAAACACATGCTGCCTGGCTCCTGCCATGTCACAGCTCTGCTGTCCCCATGGCTACTTCAGCCAGGCAATCTCAGAACATAGCCCTCGTTTTAACAGATTTTTTTTTTTTTTTTCCTATTACACATCTTTGAATAGTATCTACACAATGAAGTTCTGATCCCTGGCTCCAATACTTCCATGTGAAACATTTGCATATTCCCCAAATAGTAAACATAATCATATCAACACAGCTTTAATTAGCATCAATCTACACTAATTATTTTTACCATCAACCAAATTATAACTGAAAAAAACAAGTGCTCTTAATAGCTCAGCTACGAAAAAGCATGTCCACCATTACACTCATTGTAATGTAGTCAGCAGATGCCCTCTAACGTTGTGTCAACCGTTCATTAGCCTTGGAAAATGTGTCACGTGAAGCAGAAAGTCTCTGTAGTTTTGCAAGTTAGGAATTTTCTATGCTACAACTCATAGAGTGATTCAATGACTCCCACCTTCCCATTATGCATAATAAGTAGCAAGTAAAAGCAACAAACTCATATATAATCGTTCATTAGGAACTGTAATTACATTTCCACTTAATCCTTAAGACAAGTTGTCTGACATTTTGCAGTCAATCATAACAAAGCTGGGCCCTTCAAATCCAAGTACTGTACATGACTGGTATCTGCTGATTGATTTCAAATATACAGTTTGGTCTGGCTGAGAAAACAAGCAGGAGGAAAGGGTTGTCTGACCACCCAAATCTAACACGTGTTTCTTGAATACTCCTACTTGAGTGGCCCTATGTGCATGGCCCTTGAAAGCAGTGTGTCCACAATGTGTTTTCTTGTTCTTAAACTCAACAATAACTTCACACACACTTTTTTGTTATGAACAACATGGGTGGAAAAACACTGATACAGCTTCTTAAGCCAAATGGTGACTTCAAGGCTTCCTGCTGCAGTTAAAAAACTGCGAGTGTTCTGCTATTAAAATAAATTTGCATTTGTTGCATTGAGCAAAACTTGGAATATGCTGTTAGCAGAGATAATCACTAACAAATTCATGTTGGCCAAGCAGAGGAAAAATCAGAACCATCAAAAAAACCCCACTGATAAGATGCAATGTAGATCCCATGGGAAGGAAGACGGCATTTCTTTATCATCAAGATTAAAAACCAGTGAGATATCACCTCTGTGACATGATTCATGGCCAAGAATATGTGTAAGTAAACAAGGCTTCTAACAAGGCCATCACTGGGGTTGTGACTAACAGAGCATTTGTTAGTTACTCCGTAAAGGGTCAACAAGATTCTCACTGGAAAGATGAAGTTATCAATTGCATGATAGATTGTAAATCTACTTACCTCCTCTGCAAATCTGATCATGCAGCTATTCCATTTTAACACTAGACAGTCCTCAGTTTATACCATTTATAAAATATGTAAACGTTGCCTACCTGCTCTTGAAGAACTTCTTGCTTTTTATTGTGTAATTGAAGATAGGAATTTATCTTCTCTGAACGTAATCCTAAAGTCTGTTTATTTTTTTCCACAAAGTTTTTTTTTGCTCTTTGGGGTCGATCTTGAAGAGAAGCAGCACTGCCATGTGAACTGGGACTGTCTTTGAAATGACGGCCATCTGCAGATTCCTTCCCTTTGGTATGTAGCCTAAAAGGTTCATTGCTGACCACAGCATTTGGTTCGTGAAGGCTTAGTAATTCTGTACCAAACTCTGAGAACGAGTCTTGTGACTTTGCCTCCTGTTGACTCTTTTCTTCTGGGGACCCATTGGAATGAAGGTAAAATGAATCTTGTGAAAAGTCTACAACGCTTCCTCCAGCAACCTGACATGCTTTTTCTGCCTCAGAAAACTCTGCTACCTCTTTTGTGTTCTTCCAGTTAGGATTGTATCTTAGGCTGAAATATTTGTCCACAGCCTGTTGTTTCCTTTTTCAAAAAAGAAACATAAAATTATTTATGTATAAATTGTATAAATTGATATTATTTCAGTGTGCAATTTGAGCCAACAAATATGGTCAGCTGAATGATTTCAGTGCATACAGTATGGCTATTTGTGGGATTGCAATCGGAACAGTTTTATCAAACATTTTTTTAATAGAAAATTTAGGCAGGACCTCCTCTTCATTTTTATTTTTCATTATCAGTGTATGATAAATTGGCCTAACATTCAGATCACAGTAGAATACATTCTTTATCCTTAATTTAGCATAGAAATCATAAGTACTAGTAATTCATCTAAAAGCTTAAAAGATATATTGTACTGCTTCTGTTGTTTCCTCTAAAATGATGTAACCTAAAAAAGACAATACGTGCTGCTCTTTCTTCAAAGATTCTGCTGTGTGAAATAAAACTGATATTCCTGGTAAAATCACACTCTCAAATGTCAGTTTGAGACTGTCTAAGCAGGAACAGCCTACAGCTCTGTATTTTCATTCTCTCTTCTCACTCCTATCCATCATGATGTTTCAATAAAAAACTCTCTGTAAAAGACTTCAAGTAACTTCTCATTAAAATCAGGCTGTAAATGAGATAAGTGTAGAAAAACACAAATCAGAAAGGCTTGTGGGTTTGGCTTTTTTTTTTTTTTTTTTTTTTTTAAAAAACACGTGTCCAAACTGTTGTTCTGAATTACATGTGTCATAAAGCAAAGAAAGGTGGTCTGCCTTAAATAACCCACAATTAATTCTGTTTATGATTTACGGTCTGATCCAACAGGAGGAAAACCAACTGAAGGCACCAAATACATACAAATTGGCTTCCAGGAGAAGTGCAGGCAGTGGCAGGAGTAAGGAGCGTGGGAGAAAAAAAGCTTTTAACACTGTTTTTTCTTAACTGGACCTGCAGTATAGTCCTGGTTTCTTGGGCACTGAAAAATGGTGATCCTTTCACAGAGACATTTATAGGCACCGAAACCTGGTTGACTCTTCAGCCCCTATTAAAAAAAAATTTACTAATCTGCTGGATTTTTCAAACTGTGGCATAGTTACTTATATTAACATTTCCAGAAATCATTTATTCATCCTTTCTAAATTAGTTACATGCCTATGCCTATATTTCAAGTAGCTCCTAATAATAAAATAATCTGCTTCTCTAGCAATGCTTTTCATTTCAGGTAAGCATTGGTGCTGTGGTACCCTGTATACCAGAGATTAGATGATTTACACTAGTGAAAACATTATTATTCCTAGTTGTCACACACCACAGGAAAACAGAAATAGGTGACCATAGTTTGAAATGAGTACAGAAATATGTGATATAATTGCAATGATTCAGATAACAGAGTATAATGCTAAAGAGTTCTATTGTGCTGAAATGTGTGCACAGCAGCTCAATTGTATTATGCAGGCCAGGTCACCGCATGGGAACAAAATGAGTGTGAAGAGCTCCTTCATCTCTAATCATCTGCAGACAAAAAGTGCACCTTTTATTCCTCCCCCCAACTTGATATAAAGGTTAGATGGACTCTGTACTCATCAACAAAAGTGTTGTATGTAGACAACAGATGCAGCGTTTCCTCTTAAAATTCCGAGGTTAGTAATGGATGTAGAGAGGGGGTTTCATATGTATATGCTGTGATATTTGCTCCGGTTAATGGACCATATTTGAGTACTTACTAGCCTAAGTTCAAACAAAATAAAATTAAATTTCCATTTAATGAAGAGCCTCACATTCAGCACAGTATTCAGTCAAAAAAATTACTAAAAATTAGAGCATGTTTCTAGTACAATTAACATCATTTGCACTCACAATAAAATATTCAATAACTGACCATTTTGCCCGTTGAGAAGGTGAATAAAAGCATGCTATTAATCATTTAGCCTTCATTTGTTTGCCATTTTATTTTAAGTAGACAATTAAATTGAAATTGCACATCATTATTACTTCAGGTTTAATTTAATCCCTTTAAATTTGAGAATTATTCCCAATTTATAGTGTTAAACCTTGTATGCATATGACAGCAAATTAAATTTTATGTACCGACTTACCGCTTTCTAAAGCACGTTTAAAGGTGACAGTAACCCTGGAAATTTTAATTTTATACAGCTATAATGGCAAAACTGCATTTATCCGACCCACCAATTTTTTCCTCAAAGTTTTCTTACAGGAAGTGGCCTGGTTTGATCAGCGTAGATCTTTCCGTAAGGAAGGAGAAAGGGATGTGTTGGTACTGGTTCTCATTTGCTCTCTGGTCCTTTTTTCACAGCCCAGTTCCAGAAGCCCTCTAGTCCATGATCTCAGAGCTGCTGCACCATCTGAAGGTCTGACAGCTGCATGGCAATGGTTGCCTGTTTGAGATGGTAGCCAGCACGTACTGCTAAATCTTGTAGTGCCTGGTCCACAGTCCATTACAGTCACTGGACTGCTTCCACTGATTGCAGTTCTAGGTCAAGTAGGCAGGAATAAGAGGGGATCTACATTCAATAGGCCTTTACCAGAAGAAACTGTAGTTAAATGCTCCCCCACTAGCCTACTCAGTAATGTTAAGAGTAAGGGTTAGCATGTGTCTGTTCACCACTTCCTACCTTCTTGCCCGCCTGTCTTAAAGGCAAATAGCCTCTAAACACATAGGCGCGTAGCGTTCACCTCTGTATGCAGGGTCTAGAGCCAGCATGTGGGGGGCTTATACACCTCCGTGAGGGATGTTTCCTTTTCCATCTTACCCTCCTACACTGGTGTTTCAGCCAAAATAATAAACAGTTAAGGCTGTATTGGAGAAATGGGTATAATAATTATGAATGTGGGTAAGATGAAGCAGTACATGGTTGCGTGTAACTAAGTCCATAGGTGCTCTTAATAGCACTTTGGTAATATAAGTTGGTCTTGAAGTTGTCATGGATATTCTCAGGAACGTTAAGCTTTTCAAGTGTCAAAACTATTCTACTCATCTACTAAAATCCTATGCCTTACCTTCCATTACCATCATTCTTTAGTATTCCATTTATATATTGGTTTGTGCCATACTCAGCTCCTTCCTGCTCTGTTAAGCTGATCTCCTCCAAGCTGTCTTCTAAGCTGTCATTCTCCAACTCATCAGAATACAGTCCTACCAGCTCTTCATTTTCACGAATCCGCTGCTGGAGTTCTATCTGATACTGCCTCTCCTGAACAAGGCTTTCAGAGTCAGATTCCTGGGAGTCATGCAGACTTGAGGCAAAGCCCCCTTTGCTTACAGACGGCCTTTTCCAGTTCATAGGGTGGAAATCTGGTTGCATGAGTATGTCTTGAGGAACACGTTTTTTACTCTTGTTGCAAGTGTGTGGAGAAGAAACGGAAATATACTTCCTATCTGAAGTATTCATTCTGTGTTTTGCACTGATGGTATACACCAGCCCTGTATTTGGAAAACATGAGAGTCAACAGAGAGGTTGTTCACTCTATAATAATATTTGTTAAAAGGTGGAATTGTGAGTAGTATCATTGGCTTAGGCTCGGAATTTGACCTTCTATAGTTAAAACAATTCTTTACTTTCATCTGTTCCACTGATTTTCCTTTAAGCAGTTAATAGCAAGATCCCTATACAGCAAATGCATGACTTCCTGCTATGAAATCTACCTTAACTATTAGTGGTAACAAAGCTAATCATGTACAAACAGCTTATCAAAAAGAAAATGATGCTAAGACAAAGCAACAAAATTGTATCTGCTAACTTTCGAGGTAACAAATTTTCTGTGTTCTCTTTACTCAACTTTTTACTATCTTGACATGTAAGCTATCAGCAGGAAAGTGGGTGCGACAGAGCAGAACACAGTGAAAAGAACTGGAACACTTTGTAAATTAGGAAGAGTTTCTTTTCCTTTCATTGCATTTAAAGGCTCAGCAGTCATTTGCACCACCAGATACTTACAAGAGGAAGCGGCTGGAAGGAAAAAGGCAGTGTTTTGTGAGGAAATGGAGTTAGTTACACTGTAACTGTAGTAATTACTGAAGCAATTAGTCACAGTGCATAGTGTGGCCGCGCTTAAAGGTACACAGCGCGTTTCACACTGGTACGTGGGCGACTGTTACGCTCTGGAAACGCAAACTCCCAGTTCCGATTTTCCAGGGTTAGCACCGCTTTACCACTGTTTATCCTCCGGCAGGCCTGCACGCCGCAGAGGAAAGCCTGGCAGCGGCAAGGGAAGCTTCCGCTGGGAACGGCCTCTCCGCCGGCAGCCCCCGCTCCGCCGCGGCCCGTGTCCCGCAGCCCCCGCCAGCCGGCAGGCCCGGCCCGGCCCCGCGTCCCCTCACCGGCCCCGGCCCCGCCCCGCGCCGTCGCCATGGCTGCACCGCCGCACGCCGCGCCTACCAACAGCGAGAGCGGCGGGGGGAGCGCGTCCCTCCCCCCCCCCCCCCCCCGCGGGGAGCGTGGTAGCGCCCGGGCTGGGCGAGGGGCTGCGGGGAGAAGGCGTTTACCGCTTCAAAATGGGATTGTTCAGTCATCCGTTCAATTCGGAGTTCAGAAGCAGTTTCCAGCATCGTTCTGAGTGCTAGTGGGAAGTAATAATCTCTAATGAGAAAAAAGAAATACAGCCTTCTGCTGTAATGTCAATTTCCTTTATTTTAGGAACCCGGTTTTATCTTTCTGCAACACAAACAGGCTTCCCCCGTGATGGCGTGGCGGGGCTCGGCAGATGCAAAGTCTTGGCGGTTCTCCTCGCTTGCTTGCTGGCAGGCAGGTGACACTATCGCTGAATTTGGGAGGCCCGTGCGTTACACCATGCAGCCTCTTTCTGTTTGCCAGCACCTAGTTTGAAGACTTCCATATTTTCAGGGACACCCCGGGGAGCTTAGGCGATGTGGGAGACTGTACAGTCATAGCACCCAAATTTTTTTGTTTCAGAGCCCCTTGCAGGTTGGTGCTGATGCAGCCTTGCACAGCAGAGTGCTGTTATTGTACAGGTAAGAAACTGAAGCCCTTTCCCCCCCCCACTTTTTGAAAACACTTTGGACATCAAGGTGCTTTCCTGCTTGGTTATATACAGCTGGATGTCCAGGTTTGGGGGCAGAACGGGATAATACAAGTCCCAGTTGGTTTGCAGCTCCCAGGGTTTCCAGCTCAGTCCCACGCTTGCAGAGGAGGTGGCCGAAGCATTACACGAATATCTTGGTATCCTGCGGTCTTCAGGGCTATTGCATGTTCCCTTGCCTGGACCCTAATTACCAATAGGATCTGAGATGGGATTGATGAGCTCTGTTTCTGGCAGTGGTTAATTAAATCCTCTGAGGATTACAGGTAAAACAGTGTGTTCATTGCTAATGGGTTTCTAGGAGCACCAGTCCCATAGACGTGTCCCACTGTTTAAAGAAAAGCAGTCTCAATGGTCTTTTGGATTGAGGGTAGCTGTTTGTACTTCTGCTCCTTGAAATCATATTGATATCTGAATGCTCTAATATAAATATCAGGAAACAGTGCTGTTTCTGCACGTTGTACAGATTTGCCATTGCTATACATCTGTTTCTTTTCCACATCCAAACAGTTTCTCACTTATTGCAATGTTTTTGTCTCTTGGATTCTTCTGCGTTGCTTCCACATATCCTTCTGTCACATATTGTGTGTTGGACTTCTGATTGACAACTGAAAGATAAACACACATTTATTACTGATTTTGTATAGAGGGTGCTGCGTACCTGCTTGAAATAGGTGTTGAATTAGAGTGTTATAGAATAATAAAAGACAACATGCATTCCTAGACATTGTTAGGTCGTTCATCACAGCAAAGACTGAGATGCATGATGTGATCTAATGCAGGTTACACAACACTCTAGGCATTAATTTGTACTAGAAGTGGTTTAAATATTTAATATTTCAAAATATTTGAAAAAGAAGGAAAGTTTTGAAAATATTTTGACAGTAATTATGAGCCCCCTTCTCTTTTAATACTCCTTAGGTGCTGCAATAAAATGTTGAAAGATGTTGGCAAAGTTCTCTCATTCTTGCCATGTGGGTTTATAAACCTGCCAAAAGCTGCCTTTGTTTAGACAAAAGTCCAAGTGTGGAGCAGAAATAGCCCAGCTGAGGGGGCTAGCAGACCTGCCTCGTCCGTTGTCACTGGCTGAGGACAGGACTGATGAAGAACTGATGTTTTGTTGGTGGCAGAATCGGATAAGAGCCATTCAGGAGAATTTAACAATAGTAGTATTCACAGTACATACCACCCATATTGTTTTTAATAATGTTTCAGTAGATTATATTTAGAAACTAGATAAACCCATTGTGATTATCCAGTCTAACTTAGCAAATAAAAAGCAGTGGTTTTCATTTTGCACAGTTCTGCATCACTCTTGCTGAAGCTATAACTTCTGTGGTGGACCACTGGGTATGAAAGATTTGGGTTTAGAAAATTTAGGATTAAAACGTGCAATTTGTAAGTATCTCTGTATTGTAAGATTGATTGCAATCTGCTCGGGCTGTGGTCAGTAGCAGTGCTCTAACAGGAATGAGTTTATGTTGGTTAAAGCTTTTTACCGTGTCCGTTCTTCTCATGGCCCAGACTGTCTTCATTACATTTGGATTTATAACTCTCCAGTGTCTGCTCTGAAACATCATTTTCTGTGCAGAAAACAAATGTAATTAAGATTATGAGATTTTTCTGTGACACCTCATCACCCTCTGCCTTGAGCATAAAAATCCCGAGAGACTGGTTATAAAGTGGGTGTTCAGTCATCTCGATCGTCTAAGAGGTGTGCTTAAGACAACAATTTAATTGGCTTTTGTGGCACCTCATGTCAGCTGAAGCATGGCCCGAGGCCACCCGCTACAGGGACTCTTCAGCAGTTGTTTGCAACAAGTCACAGTCACTGCCTGTGGGACAAGGACATTTAATGGGTGGCTGGAGGAGCTGTGTCTTGTCTCTGCTTAAGAGGGTCCTTAGCTCTCCAGGCCCTCTGAATAAAGCAGCATCAGCAGTTGTGCGGACACCCACCTCTCTTCCACACTCCATGAGCTTTTTTCAGCTTCCTCATAAAAAGCAGGACAATGATGAGCAGCATGAAAATCAGAACAGCCACCAAAATCGGCAGCAAGAGATTATTCTCCTTATTTTTGATGCCTTCAGTTTTCTGATCTTGCTCTGCAAAAGAGGCAGGTGTATGTTTGTGTTGTTAAATAGCTTTCTGTGAGTCTCTGGTAATTAAGACAAGAATGATATATTCTGAACCAAGCCAGACGAACATGGTGGGAGTACAGAAGTCACCTTACTGGACTTCATTTTAGAACGTGAAGTCAAATTTTTTCTTCTTGTATGAACAATAAAAACTGATTGGAATCAGTGGACAGTAAAATTTAGCTTTTTTTTCTAGCTGATAAAAATGGCTGTGTTTCTGCGGTCTCTCCCCAGGATTGCAAGCCAGCATTACCCTAGTGTACTGACAGAAGGTCTGGAGGTGGATACATGGTCAGAGAGAACCAGCTTGGGGTAAGAAAGATCATTGCATGTTTGGAAGCTGTCATTAAAGAGTTCGTACCGGAGGCGATGGTGGAAATCACAGTTACATTTTCACTTGGTAGTGGAGCTTCTGTCCTGGAAAGTTCCTCTTCTGTGACACTGGCACTAAATGATGTTTCAGTCCCTGGAGGAATGGAAAGGGGAACAGTATTTCTCTGAAGGGGAAAAGGATGCTTAAGAAATGCATATTTTCCCAGCAGCTTTGAAGTCCAGGGCACCTGGTACAGGAACAGAAAGGGACTTCTGGAGCCCTTGACTTAAAGCTCTGTGCTCACTTCCTGAACGCTGTATTTTGTTTTTATCTGAAGACCACCTAGGATTTACAAACAGAAAATCCTCAGAGTCTCTTACACATTGCTGCACTGAATGGTTCCCATTTACAGCCAAATTAAAACACAGTTGAGCTTTGACTCTTTGCTCATCTGGGGACTTTCCCTGTCCATCCGTTTGCTTCTCTTGCTTGCAGAACCAGGAATGAACACGTATCCTTTTCCTTAAAACAGGGCTTTTGTTTTCTTTTTTTTTTTTTTTGGTATTCATATCCCTGACAACTTTTTTACTGCCTTCATAGCTCACAGTGGTGCAGTCACCTAGTGTGAGAATCCCTATCTTTTGCCACCAGCCCCCTGATGCCACTGATGATGTAAGGTCATACCGGTGGGGACGCGATAACTCGATGAACCAGCCAATTCTTCCTTTCCTGCTGCAGGTGTCATTACTTCGGACCCTGTGCAAACAGAGAGGTGAGCTCCGATTTATGCACACAGACAACATATCCTTGTAAAACTAAAATAATTATGTGCTGTGTCTACCAAAACTGTACATTCATAAGAGGTTTTCTTCCTTCTCGGGCATGTAAGCACACCTGGTGAAAGTCCCGTTAAAAGATTCAGGCTCTCTTTCCATGTATTTCTGTCAATGTATGTATGAATTGTTTATCGGGTCATAGCCATTCTGCAGTGTTTGTAATCACTGATGTAGCACTTTTAAACAAATATAAGAAGAGTTCACATTATTTCTGAAACACCCAATTGTTTTTTCACTGCAGGGCCCGGCACACGAAGCAGGGCGTGCACCCACCTTGGTGGGTTTTGGCCAACCGATCTGGGCAGTGAGGCTCTTAATTCTTCTGCTGGAAACAACTCCTCAGTTCAATAACTGCAGCCTGCAGCACACTATGTGCACTGATAACCGTTGTTGCACAGTGCCATCTAGTGCAACCGTCCACAGAAATCCCACCCTGACGCGATAGTGGCTGCAGTTGCTAATGCCGATCTTCTAACTAGAGGGACTTTGCTTTCATGGCTGTAAAACTCCTTGCACAAGCAAGAAATGCTGTTTTTTATGTTACGTGCTTGCTTGTAATGTGGAATGTAATGCTGTCTCTGCAGCATTTCTGTCCTGGTTTGGTAAATTTGTGTAACTAAGACCCAACTTACAAGTAGATGTGACATGTGGTTGGAGGTTTTGCAGGGTTGGTGTTGACGCTGAGCTGGTAACTACTGGATCCTCTGGTATTGCAGAAGGGACAGCTGGTTGTTTGGATCCTAAAGGAACCCCCCCCAGAACACAGGACAAAAATCAGAAAACACACTTTGCCATCGAACTGATCCTTGAAAAAGGACACCTGCCCTGTATGCTCCATGTTCTGGACTGTTTGGCTGCTCTATCTGATCAGTGGTTAGACTTACAGCCCTACCCTCCCACCTGCAGCTTCCCTATCCTCTGAATATATTAAATGCTATGAAATGGGGAAAAGACAGAAAGTGAAACCCTTACCAGTATGCTGTGGGTAGCTTGGAGCAGAGGCCGTGCTGCTGTTCAGATCTGACATTGCTGTGGTCACTGGGGAGAAATCCAAAGCAGTTCTGAGGGCTGTGCAAAATGTCCCTCAGTGCTGACGGCAACTGGGGATAGATGCTGTGTTTACCTGACCTGTGCATTTATTTAAAAGAGGCCAAGCAGTTAATACCTACCTGTAGATTGCTCATTCTCAGAGCCATGTGTATCCACCTCCAGCACAGCTGGTGAAGGATTTGGTTTTCTCACTGAAAAAACCCAACAACGGTACAACTTTCAGAGCAATTTATAAGCATTTTTTGAAGCAAGCAATCTAAAGAAGAATGAAGTAAGAATAATTAGATCCATCCTAATGATGAGTAAATAGGCAGAAGGCAAGCTCTACTCTGATTATTAGACAAGCAGCTTCAGCGTTAATTTACAATATTTACACTCTGCTAGTTTTCCAGATGGATGTGTCTAATACGCAGAAGATGTGGGAAGCTCACAGCTTTTTGAGAACATAAACTTTGAGTTATCTTTAAAGCTTTAGGACAAACATCACCTGAATTCTAACAGCTGCCCTGGGGAACTGACCTGCTTGGGCTGCTGTGGCTTAAGTTTCGTGAATTTTAAGGTAGTTAAGAAGCAGGAAGAAGCCCCCCCAATCTTAGTTTGGAGTTCTTTTTTTTTTTTTTCCCCAGGTAGCCATCTCATTTAAAAACAGATTCCACACATGGGGCAGTAGGCTGTGAGCTTCAGCTTTGCATATATATCTGTGTAGCTTTCGCCGCTTCAGAGTGGTAAAATGGGAAGCCTCTGCTGAAGGAGCCTGCAGTACCTGTCCTAGAGAGGTCCTCAAACTGGAAAGATGCCATCAGCTTCTCTTTTCCTAGTGCTTGGTGGCGAATGATGCAGCTGGCTGTCGAATTGGGCCCATAGGCGAGGACTGTCAGCGTGCTGGTTGTGGTCCATTTCTTCCCATCAGATTCTAACTTGTGCTTAGTGTCACCTATACACCCATTGGAAGAAAACATTTAAGTGCTTTCTAGTCAAGAGCAATTTAATGAAAAACCTTCCAGGCACAATCTGTATTACCTTGCTGTGCTAAAGCAGCACCTGATTGCTGTGCACAAGTGGTTCATTGTGTAAATGGATTACATTGGGAGCCCAAAGGCAGCAAGGTCATGTTTTCTTCCTCGGCAGCTGTGTAAGTGCAGACCTCACTGCACCTCCTGCATTCAACCCAGGGCCTCTGCTCGGTTTCATGATTTGACATGGAGTAATTCCCCAGCAGCACCCTGCAGGACTGTGGCAAAACATCCAAACACCCACTGGCAATTTTGGTCCTTCCTGAACGGAATAAATGGATTTGCTGTGTGCCACAGCCACCCATGGCCCGAAGTGGGGAACCTCAGGGCAAGGACCTGCTGTTTTGCAGCATGACCGAAATCTAGAAAAATTCTGAATCTGCTATGTGATATCCAAGGACATTGAAATTTGTGTCTTAATAGCTGTGGCTTTGTTACTTCAAACATAAAAAAGTTGTGCAGTATTTGTGCATATTGATAAATATGCACAATAAATATTAATGTGCAATGTTTGCATTTGCAATAAACATTCATATAACTCTCTGAAATCCTGTGCAAGTCCTCCATCATCCCCACAGTGCAGGTTTGACTGTTCCCCTTTTGCAGCTGGGGAAAGTTAATCACAAAGATTAATTGCCTTGCCGTAATGAATTAGAGCGAGCCATGTAACTTGTCTGATGTAGTTCTTAGTCCTCTAGGTAATACTGACTTCTGCTCATTTATATGACATGGAAAAATAAAGATGTATTTCATGTGACGCAAAGAGACGTGTTTCAATAGCTCTGGTGGAGAGGGAGGTTTTTTCAGGTGTTTACCTTAAATGACCATGATGGCACAATAATTTCTACTGTCTGTTTATAATGTAGAAGTTCTCTGGAAACAAACTGATGCTTTCTCTTCATGTTACCCTTGGTAACACCCTTATTTCTTAAATAAAGGAAATTCCTTGTTTCCAATTTAGCCTTTACAGATAACTTGCTGTATCATGTAGATCAGTATTCTTCAACCCTCTTTTCCATCCCCAGCAGGGTCATATAAAAGCTCAAAAGAATTTCAAAGTGTTTTTGCTAGGAAGGAAATAATCTTTGTCAGCAACAGCTCAGTAATTACAGCTGATTTGCCCCTGCTGAGCCCTGGTGGAACCGAGGTGCTGCCAGTAATTAAGATGTATTAGCTGTTTTCTGATTAGTATAAATATTTGCAGTAAGTGATTAAAGCTGAGCATGGAAGGGGGAGAAGGGAGGGTTATTTGAAGGCAGTCACCTTCAAAAAAAGGGGAAAGGCACATGCAGAAAGTTTGAGAAGCAGTGAATTAGGACAGTTATTTCTTCCTTTGAAACATTTTAATTCCTGTCTGCCCCAAGCAGGCCATGTGGTGAAATCAGCACCTCTTTGTGCAATAGTCCTTCCTCTGAAAACCAGATGAAAGCAGATGAAAGAGCTCCAGAGCAGCCCCTATGCCTCTGAATTGGGGTCCTGGGTGCCCGTACCGTGTGGGGAGAGTCAGGTAGTTCTCACTATGCTGGCTTAGTGCTACAAAAGCAAGGAGGGAGAAAGGTGAGCAGAGTGTTTTGTTAAAAAAAGTGGAGAAACGTATGGTTGGTTTTATGTGTTGTGGGGGATGTTTAGTGACCGAGTTGTGTGTCATGATGTTGCAAATAATATACTTTATCAGGCCAGAATTGCAGTTGTATCAAGCTTAAGCAAAGCACTGTATTTAGTAGAACACTGGGAAAAATGTATATAAAAACTCAGAGGTGATATATTGCTTTTCTGAACTCTTTGTCACTTCACAGTTGGTATTCCCCCAAACCCTTTCAGTCACACATAGCCCAACTCTTCCCGAACACATGCAGAATTTTCAGACCTGCTTTCCCAAGACCCATGTGCTGCTCCAGATCACCTTTCCCCCTGCAATCGCAGATAGCTTTCTGTCCTGGCTTTCGTGTGCCTCACTTAGCAGATATACTGCTTCCCCTGAGTACAGTTTCTTTAAGCAGAGGGTTTTATGCAGTTGCATTAATACCTGTGTATCTGGCAGCCTGGATTATTTTATTGTTTTTCTTTTTATTTATTCTTGATTTCTAGCTATGCTCAGACCAGCATGCTTCTCTTGTTTTCCAGAGCTCTTAGCCATTTTGGGGTGGGAGGAGGAAGATTACACAGGCTAAGCTTTGAATATGTTGTTTGATGATGCAAACTATAAATAAGAGCTTGTTAATATGTGAAAGAAAATACATTTGCATCTGTGGGTATTTTCCTCATGCTTTGATACAGACGTGCATTTCCTTTCCACTGTGCTACAGCTAGTAAGGTAGTTATTATTAGACACGGCACTCAGAGGAGCTATTTATATAGCACCCAAGCTAAACTGAGCTATGTGGTGGCTCTGTTCCTCCTCACCTGTGTCCACCCAAACGTGTGCAGACCTTTCCTCACTGGGGAAACCATGGCAGGCTGGTGTGGGCTGTGTTTCCTGTGCTCTCCTCTTGCTTCTGCTAGTGAGCTGCTTGGCTCGGAACAGATAAATGAGAGAGGAAGGCTGCTGGGGCGTGCGTGAGCTGCGCAGTGAAACTGAAGAAAATCTGTCTACTGGTCACAACATGGAAATAGTTATAATGGATTTGTGAACTGGCTTTATACTGGGGCTTTGAAAATTGTGCCTCCAGAGTTTTGGTTTCCTTTTATTTCAATGGAATTTAATTCCAGACTCTCAAGGGACTTAGGTGCCAAGTGGTGGTGGTGTTCTGCACTGAGTGTGAGCTGAGCAGGTGAGCTCTCTACCTTGCACAGACACTGGAATTTAGTGCTGACTTTTCTTCAGACCTGCACCGCAGGGGCCAGGTTGTACTAAAGGAGTAGAGGATGAGTGGTGATCCCAAATGATGTGTTGCAGAAGGTGCTGGTGCTTCACCCTCCATTATTTTTAAACATACCCAAAGCTGATAAGAAGAAATTGTTAGTAATCAATCCCTATGCCTTTAACACTTACCAGGGAGCTCTATCCCGTTGTCCAACAGCCAGGTAATCTGGGGCTGTGGTTTACATCCTTGGGCATAGCAAGACAGCGTAATGCTTCTTTTTGTGTCTCGGGATACTTCCAGTACTGGAGTAGAAGGAGCAGCTGAAGCAGTAAGATTTAGAGTCAGTTATAGAACATCTTTCAACTCGGTTTTATGAATGGCTGCATGCATAGCATTATTTGGGCGGACTGAGCTAAAACCAGGATTATGTTGTGTTAAGCACCATGCAGCTGAATGCACAAATGCAGGTCTAGAGTTGAGGAGCTGGCTCTGTTGTTCTGCTCCTCTGAAGCAAAGCAGGTGAAGGAACTTACCCAAAACCTTAACAGTCTTGTTCTTGCTTTTGAATGGGATGCTGTAGTAGAAGCATTTATATACGCCTTCATCGTGCACTGTTACGTTAGACAGTTGGATGGATAATTCATCCTTTGAATAATGGATAAGTTTGTACCTCTGATCTCTTAAAGCTGTAAGGAAAACAAAACCCAGCATGCTATGCGTGTTGGTACATAAGAGGAAGACAGATAATCAAAGCAGTAATGAATGAGGATATTTTTATTGGATTTTTTTAATTCATCATCACTTGATGTAAGGGAGCACTTGTAGCACAAAGTATTTCTAGCGGGTGTTGTGCTAGTACAGAGGCAGCAGCAGACTGAAGAAGGGGGGGTGTATACCGTCAGCAAGGAAAAATGGCATGTTTTTTCTCACTTTTATTTTCAGGGGGTCTTATTCCTGTGTTCCCAGGTATTATAGCATTTGGGTTCTTTAAGTATCTAGATGGATAAATATAAGCAAACATTGGGGTGTGCGGTCAGGGAAATCATATGACCTTTGAATATAGAGCATAGATGCATGAGCTGAAGATCTTTCCCTTTCCCGTTCCTCAAGCCTATATTTGGACTTGAAAAAAATCACTTCCCCTCTTTGGATGTATTTTGTGATATATAAATGAACACTATGGTCAGCACACACCTCTATTAACTGCTTATTATTTGGCTGTTTAACTTTTCCTGTCCTTGTATCATTACCTTGATTTTAATGAGACCACCTCATAGGGTATCTGTATGCTGATGTACAGTTCCCTTTCTCTCTCTCGACTTTCTAGTCTTGACTTCATTCCTTCTGCTGGGTGAACCATGGGAGTCCTCGGGGTCAGGCCAGCAAGTCACATGGACTTTTCCCACAATCACAGCACAGAAACTTTCTGCCCTTAAACTGAACTGAAACTATGGATGCGTACCAGTCATTAGGGAGAATAAGAACCCAAAAACTATCTTTTTAGATTTAATTTTTTTTAGCTGAGGTCTTGTAAAAATACGGAGTTGGGAGAAAATCACAGCAATACTATAATTTATGGAAGTGATTAAATATTAAAGGATTTTCAGATCACCATGATGTAAGACTAGTAGCTAGCTTGTCATATTTTTAACTACAATGAGACAGGAGGGAACTGATTCACGAAGTGGTTTATTGGAGAAGCAATGTGACAGAGATTCACAATGGTGATTCAGAATAAAAAATGGAACTGTCCACGTGCAGTGTGAAGTTTGATTTCTCTCTAAAGGAGGACTGTTTTCTTTTGTATTGAAAAAGGAAATTATTCAGTGTATCTGACTTATTGAGGATGCAAACGCTTTGCAAACTCTAGTCCTTGTGAGTGTTATATCATGCATCTTACTGAAGGATAACTGTGGGATGTTGAAACTATGGGTTGAATTCTTAGGTGATTTGAGATACTGTTTTGTTCATGTGGGTTAGAGCCTGCTCCTATAGATACCAGTGGATATGTTCTTTCCCTAACCTTATTACATTGCCATATCCACTCAGCAAACCTTTAAGCATCAAAAGGGCTAGAGCTGTTAAAAGATGGAAATAATTAAAAGTGGATATGGGCAAAATAAAATGTCTCACTTCAAAATTGTTTGCCTAGAAATAAAGCATTTGTGGCTGTAGCCAGGGCCATAGAGAACTTACATAGATGAAAGAATTCTTGCTACTCTTACCTACCTCTATGGTGTAAAATACTGAGAACATACATAAGTGTCAAAAATAGATATAACTGATGGAGAGGTGATTTCTTCCTAGGTCTTGCAGTTCTTGGGTTTAGGTATCGGACTAACAGACTACCACAGGGGAGAGAAACCCCTGCCATAGCCTGCTGTGGTTCTTGGAAATGTGGATGTCAAAGCAGCACAGGGTGGGTTGCAATAGCCCTGTTGCCTGTATTGGTTAGCTGTCAGTGGCTCAGCACTGAGTTTTTTTGGATTCAATTTGAATCTAGTGGTTCATATGCATTATACTGAGAATATTGGACTTGGGATCCTGGATTCTTCTGTAGGAAACAGTTCCTAATACATACATGTATGAGTCATTTAAAATTGCTAATGAACACTCATCCCACTTGCTGTTATAATTGAGTAAATAGGAGCAACAGTTACTCATGACATTTTCTATTTAGAAATATTGGCAATACTTGTGGGATGTATTAGTGGACTGGTTTGATGCAGGTGGCAAATCCTGGTCACTGGGATTCCCAGAGCAACCAAAGAGGATCTTCCGTTCCTGGGTAGTTTCAATGGAAGTTGGGTACTCAATATCATTTGGATAAATCCAAGTCATTATTATCATTAAAGCCTAAAGGCTTTAACAAGCAGAGATGCTGACTAGGCACTGTACAAATGGGGAAGACCAAGGCAGTTCTTATTTTGCAGAGCTGTCGAATTTGGACCAACAGAAAGAGAGATAAGGACAGAGAGATGTGAGGTGTAGGGAGTGGAAGGGAACACGGTAATTGTAACTTTGGCTTTGTCAGCACATATTAGAAATTACTGCTTGTTTTCTAAAAATTCCTCCTGATGTGTTACACTAAATTCCCCAGTGAGTAGAAGAGTACCCAGGGCTCTCAGGCACGTCTACCCCTGTCTCTCATGTAAGGCAAGAGTGGGTTTTTGTGTGAATCTCCTGGTGCTGGTGAAAAATACAGTTAAAAGCTCTAGTGCCAGACCATATTTGTGGGGGTTTCCGTTTCATCAGCTTCCTGCCAGAAAGGGGCCGAATGTAAAACCATCTCGAGCAGTTGGGTAGGAGGTGACTCAGACTGGCCATGGGTGGGAGCAGGGAAAGCCCACTCCTGAGTGACCCTCCAGCCCCACGTGGAAAGTGCAGCATTCAGTTTTCACACTTACCTCGTTGGGTGTCAAGAAAAATGGCAAACCCATCAGGGTTTAACCACTGCCGGGCAGAGCTGTCATCACTGCTGAGGGTGCAGCGGAGATTTAGGTCTTCTCCTTCCTTTAGAGTTATGGTTTCACTGCCAGCTCCTGGAAAATCCCCTGCCAGAGAAGAGGGGAAAAAACAAGTATTAAAATGTGACACAAACTAAAATGACAGTGTTTAGCACGGAGTAATATTTTAAGCTTTCCTTTTTTCAAGGGTATAAAGGTTTTTCTACAGTAGAAAACTTGTCAATATGATTGTACTAATAAAAATAAGTCGCAGTCATTATATAGGTCATGACAGTCACTGAGTAAGACTTGTACCAACATTGTGTCACCTTCACCTGCTAGCACAACCAAATTTATTTATTAAATGTTATTCCATATGAGTCAATAAAGAATTGATAGGAGACTCATGTAATGCATGTTCTCCCTGTATGTTTTCACAAACATTAGTTTTCATTATTCCATGTTCGCTTCTGGAAGTGTTGAACCTGATTTGCAAGTGTGTGCGACTGAGCAGTGAATGATCAGCACCTCTGAAAAAGGAGGCTTTTTTGTTCAGAAATTGTAATGCTGCAACTGCTTTGAATTGGATTTGGAACTTCTTTTGAAGATAAGATCCACAAACCTGGCCTGGCATAGGTTACTAAAATGAAATTTCACTCCCTCTTCTCCCAGTTCATTATACAGACAGGCAGTAAAGTGTGTTTTTCTCTCCAGACTTTCTAAGATATATAATACACTTTGTGAAAATATTTGATGACCTGGAATGAATTGCATTTTCCAGAAAAAAGCTTGCCCTGGAGAAATTACTAAGAGCAGTGCCTGGGTCAGAGTTAAGTAAATAGGCAGTAAGAGGGTTTTATTTTTCATTCCTGTTTTGTGTGGTTTGATTTTATTTTTCAGGTAGCTGTCTGCTGCAAGTTCCTGCTGCATACACAATGCATTGCAGTTTGGGGAAATGAATATTTCTGGGCTTCAGGAAAGCTTTTAATTTTCTTAAAAGCATTTTAAAATATACCAGAAATTAAGCTATCATACGGCATTCTTGCTGGACCTGATCTTTTACCACTAAAATCAGAGGAAGGACTTGTCTCCCTGTAAGACAGTAGTTTCCTGTGGGTGTCTGTTGCCATGCCTCACCCTTGAGTTTAGCACACCTCAGTGTTTCCTGGGCCAGAGGTGGCCTGGAAAAATGGTCAGCGATGTAGTTTGGGACTTCACAAAGAGCAAACACGCCATAGATATTTTCTCTTGCTTCACTATCTAATTTTTGGAGTCTATAAGCTTGTCGGAGAGATTTCCTTGTAATATCTTAATATTTTTTACTTTGGAATTTGTCAGCATGATGTATGCTGTGTTAGCTAAGGAGAAGCTGTGCAATAAGGAACTCCTGTCTACCCTTACTGCCAGGAGACACCACAGGTCGGGTTCAACTCCATTGCTGTGTGCTGGTGAAGGCCTGTGGAACTTTGAGTGGCTGTAATTCATTTACTATCACATATGGCACATCAGTGCCTTTGGCTTTTATTTCTTCTTGATTCTACCTCTGTTTCCTAGGCTTAGTGTCTCAGATGGTTTCTCAGGGCTTGTGCCACACGAGGGTCATTTGCAGAGGAGCAGTAGGAAGGGAAGACCTCCTGGCATGGGTTCCACTATTGAAGACCTGTGTCAGGAGGAGCATGTTTTGAAGGTAGGAGGGAGGGCTTTGTGGTTCTCCAAGGGGCCCTTCTGCACTTTCTCATAGCGATGGTTTCCTGTCACTAACAGCAGCGTGGGGTCTTTCAAGTCACACCTTTTGAGGTGAGAGCAGCAAGATTGAACAAGTAAAGGTGGGGGTGTTACTTGCTCTTCTAAACCAGAAAAAGATAGCCTCCAGAACAGCATATATATAACTTCCATGAGAGACCATGGCTTCATTCAGACTGTAACTCACAGGTGAAATTTCCTTCCTTGTATAGGATGCAGTTTGACATGGCTGTGGTCTTCAAGCCACTGTAGCCCACCACAGGATAATCACTGGGGTGTGGGAGATGCTCCTGTGCCAGCTCCAGAGGGCAGTGGTCCTTGTACTATGGGGATCTCGGGTGCCCCGGCTACCTGTAAAGACTAGTCTGGCATCAAGTACAGTGATAATAGCCACCTTGGCAAGAAAGGGCAAAGATTTCTTGCTAGAAATTGCAGGATGTAATTGAGCAGAATGGTTCATGCCTCTGGTTGCTATTATCCTTGCCATCAGAAAGTGCACAGAGAACTTTTTGTGGTGGTTCATGCTCAGTGCATCATTTCAGAGTTATCTTTAAAACTGGAGCCTTTAGAGACATCCTGTTTAATGAGTTATTTTTGACCTGTGGCTGTCGACCTGCGGGTGCTGGTCTGAATTAATTCTGATGGCCAAGAGCAGCTAGCAGTTGTCAGCAGGTACAAATTCATCATGCAGAGATATATGGCGATATTGGAGGAAGACAGGTTGCACACTCAGTGGAAACTCATGATTTGGAGCAAGTCTAAAGGGCATAGCAAGTGCTAGTTCAGCTAGAATATAACTGACAGCTCCTTAAGGTATGGCCTCTGTTAAATACAATCAATGATAATAAAATATTCTAAGTGTATGGTGTTACAGAACGGTTTGTTGCTGTTTAAACACTGAGACTTGATGTGGTCTCTGTTAACAATACCTTTGTGCGTGAGAGCATTAGCAAAGTGTCAGCAATAGCACTGCTATGGTTTCTGCTCCAGCATTTGTTAGGAAAGGAGAGAGACTATGCTTTGGCCAGCACCACTCTATTCCTCCCACAAAGGTCAGGAGTGAAGCTTATAAGAATCCTGAGCTGTAGATAGCTGTCTTGCTGCTTCTCTTACTTAAATCTTTCCCTATTTGACATGGTCAAATATGTATCTCTCACACTCTCCCATGTATGAAGGACGGGAGATTAGCAAAGGAGGTATAAGCTACATCTTGTAGTAGGTGTAAGGAGACTGAGCATTTAAAGCGCTTTTCATTTTCAGAGTACTTCGCAGGTGCTTTCTAAATGACTCTTGAATTCTTATATTAGCCTCTTTTCAGACAATACACGAATAAAAGCATACGCAGATATCCAAGCCATGGAAAGTAAGTGGTGATCTGCAGTCCAAATTTAAGGGAGAATCTTTTCATTTCCCAACGCTTTCCCGTCTCAAGCTTGCCACCAGCTGCTAGGAGGTGAACTGGTCTCATCAATACTGGGTTTAGGAGTTGGCTGGAATTCAGCACCAACATGCTTTGGAAAGTGGGTGACAATACAGCATCGTCACCAAGAGAACAATGGCAAAGTTGCCTTGCATGTGGTGTGCTGAAGCCCTGGAAACTGAGTTCTCCAGGCTGGACTGCTTGCAAAGGGGACAGTGTACAAGACAACACGTATCGCTTACCTTGCATCAGGAACAGAGCCGCGACATGAAGCACCCTGGTGAAAGTCATGTTGCGGTATGGGCGCTGGCAGCCTGTGCTGACTTCCTCTTTCTGCCGAGGCCGCTGTTCAGCCGGTCCCTTTTCAGCACGGGGGGAGCAGATTTACCATGACTTCATCACTGCCGAGGTCTTTGCATCCTTCCCTCCTCCCTGCTGTTCCACTCTCCTCTCCCCCCGTCTCACGTTTCCTATGTGTTGGCAATTGCTGAGAAGTCGGTGACCTCACAGGTCTCTAAAATGAAACTGGTGGGTGGCAGGAGTGGGGGCTCTTCACCTTGCACCCCCTCCAGCTCTGTCTCGCTCAGGAGAGGGAGATGTACATGGGGTAGAAGGTCAGGGTTAAGAGAAATGTGGGCCTGGGTTAACCCCACCGGAGACCCTGCTGCAGTGATCCTACATGTGCACAGCATTCAGGATTTAATGCCCCAAGATGGGGAGGCACCCGGGAAAACCGAGCTTATTTGGTGGGCACGGTTGTAGTGTGGTATTTGGCAAGGTTGCTTGAAAACCCAGCTGTGTGGTTTAAATTCCTGGAAAAAAAAAAATCTGGTGTCACACTGCATCTTGTACCACTGTGTGTGTGTTTGAGGCTTGCTTTGCTCTGCTTGCAGGGATCCTGGCAAAACAAATAATGAGAGGAAGGTAATTTGCTGCGTGCGGTTTGTGGCTCTCCAGGGAATGAAGAGTATTGGTGAGGTGGTTGTGAAAGGTTCACTGAGCACCGAAGCACGGGGCAGAGGGATGACTGCATTGAGTTGGTCCCAGAGGACCAGTAGCAGACTCTGGGTTTCCCGTGTCCCCTTGCAGGTCTGATGATATCAGGAGCGATCTGGGGCATAGCAAAACTTTTTGTGTCTCCTGGATGTGTGATGTCTAGTAAGATCACAAGATTTATCCAAGCCTCTTGTAGGCAGAGCATCTTCTCACAAGGTAGCCATGTGTGCTGGTTTCTGAAAAGGCTTTGGCAGATCCTCTTCTGGCACTTTTCCACAACTGCTCAAAGTTTAGTGCAAATGACTAATACTGCCAAATTGAGCTTACTTTAAGATAAGGAATATGGATTAACAACTGTGTGCTTGCAGGACGTGGGTTTGAGTGAACCTGGACAAAATGTTTTATTATAAATACAGTATGCATTTTACTTCTAATTTATTAGAACCTGTTTACATTAAACTTCCAGGTGCATGGAAGTGTGTCATTCTAATAGTGTTTATTTGATTGATAAAAACTATGGCTTTTATGTTAATTGTAATATAATCAGTTTTACTGAAAAACAGAGCTGTAGGCCACAAAGTTTAATGTAGATAGTTGGTTTGAAAAGGAAGAGTCTCACTGGCTGGTAAAACTACTGCTGGATTACAAAATCCAGATCAAGCAAGAAGGCAACTGTTGTATGCGTAAGCATTGCTTTGGTTTAGAAGTTGTGCTTCCCGTTCCACACATCTAAACCTGCCAGTAAAGTAACTGGGGAAAAAAGCCATCAGCCAGTAGAGACAGTGAAGCCACCTGCCTCCAACCCAGAGGAAAAACTCCGACCCTGTGCAGTAGATGGAAACCCAGACTTGAGATGGTTTTGTGCCATCTGCTGTCAAATAAATGAACTTCATCTTCAGTGGAGGGAAGAAAAATGCAGCTCAAATCCCCCTTTCTCCTTGACACTTCTGAGGTTTACACCCCATCTGGGTGGGCATCCCAAAGTGGGATGTGGCGAGGGCAGCATTGCATCCCAAAGTGAGGAACAGCCCTGACCCCCTTTTTGTTTCAGGGTCCCAGTACAGCTGCTCTCTAGGCTTAGGCCCCAAACAGATGTTTTTCCTACTTACATCTTGCTGGAGCCACCGAGAATATTGCTCAGGTGCACCCCAGCAGCCCCTCTGAAGGGGCACTTCATCTAGAGTCCGTGTCAGGAGATTCCCTCCGGCCAAGTCCAACATGCTTGAGAGGAAAATTTAAATAGGGGGAGGGCAAGGTGTGGGTGTGTGGCATCTTTATTAAAACATCTACGAGGCATTTTTGTCCGACTTCCAAGAAATCCATTTATTGTTGTAAGCAAATTAAAATGCAGTGGTTGTTTTAACAGTTGTTAGCACTTGAAACTGAGATTAAAAACAACCAACCAACACCCACCCTCCCACCCCCCCAAAATAAAAAAATACAGATGTCACAGGTAATTACAGCTATTTTTGGCAATACAATTATTGTGTTTTTTAAACAGCAAACATTTTTCTCAAATAAATACAATCTGCTCACACTAAAAAAACGTAACAGAATGATACAACAGGTTTAAAATGAAAAAAAAAAAAAATTATCCATTGATAACATCAAGTTTTAAGAGATGTCCACAGCGAGAAACTTCAGAAAATACATTGTAATGGGAAGTAGTAGAAAGGAACTGCCTGTGTGTTTTCTGTTATGTAGCATGTATGGTTCACGAATATTCCCCAGGGAACAAGTATTTGAGGAAGTGGTGAGAAGTAAGTAGCGATTTAGAGTATATGCAACCAATCACACCTACTGCTTTTATTTTTTTTGTTATTGTTCATTCATTCACCATTTTAAGCATGTCTGCTACCACCGTCATTTCACGTATATTTTAAAAGTTGAAAGAATTTTCTCTATACTTAGGCTCTTTTTAAAAAATAAAACAAACCAAACCACAAATCAAACCTATTAAGGCTCCCTTTCTAAACAGTAGTTTTCATAGGGAATTTCAATACATTTTAAGTTAGGAAGCATCGCAGACTGATTTCCAGCTCTGGGTTAGTCAGCTACAGCCTAACTCAACTATCCAGCGTCCCTCTTCTTGAAATGACCATAACTATAATCAGACACTAAATTTCACCCTACTTCTGCATGCATTTCTTAAATAAGGACTGGAAGGGCCTAACCCTGCCCAGGTATGTCTTCCGAATTCCTCCTGAAGTCAGTGGCAGGTGGGGGGGAGCAGCCTGGGGTAGGACCAGGCTTTGCCCAGTTTCATCCCAAGCCTGAGGAAATCAAGAGAAAGCTTCTGCTTTGTTTCCCTGGGCTCTGGACTCCCTTTGTAAGGACCCAGAGGCAAAAGTTTACGACCCCTCGCATCCAGTGCAGTAGGCAGGAGCTGAGTCGAGAGGCTGAGCTCGTCCCGGTGCTGTACGCAACCCCCTCCCCATCCTCTGACCACTGCTTCCCAGAGCTGCAGTTAGCCCACAAAGGTGACAGTACCCATGTCCCTAAGATATTGCTGCCTGGGGGAGTCAGGGCTGCAGATACAGAACGATACACTGCGGAATAGCATTCTAGCATCCCTTCTGCCCACTTCGTTTTGCGGAATTACTACTGATGTTGCCTTCACTAAAGATAATTCTTGTAAGCAACTAGTTATTTGTTGATGTAAATTATCACTTTTATAATAATGTTGACACTAGAAGCTAACACCAGAGGAGAGAAGGAGGCTCCTACCATCAGGTGACTTCTTTCTGAAATCATTCAGACTGAGTGAAAAGGGAAATATATTTTTTGTTGGTGGTGTTTTTGTTTGTTTGTTTGTTTGTTTGTTTGTTTTTTCCCCAAGGTCACAGTCTGGATCCTCAGTTTGAATGAACAAGCAAGATTTGAGTACACAGTCTCAATTTACACTCACAGAGAACCTGGCTCCATGCTCAGAGGATTTAAGTTCTTGGCCGTAGCTGCCACTGCACTAAATGTAAGGGAAATGAATGAAGCTTTAGACCTGGCACCTGCATTAAACTAGCAAGGTATCCCCAGGCACAGCGAGATATGAAGTCCAGTGATAAGGACAAATTCTTGATCAAACCTGATCTTTTTCAAATACCCTGTTTTTGACCTTCTGGTGTTGAGTGCCATCCTGTCAGCTGCTGTTGTGCTAGAATTTGATTCTGCACTTTGATCCTTGTATTTCTGTAGCCCAACCCTGAAGTTTATGAAAATACTGGACAAGCAACTTGTTCTTGGAGGATTTCCTGCTTTATTCCTTAATTGGGAAGACAGGGAAAAATCTAGGAACTGCTCCTTGCCTCCTATACCCTAATTAAACTGTTGGGATCTGATGCAGCTCACAGTGAAGGCAAGGCAAAAACTTGCATGCGCTTTAGGGAGATGAAGTCTAATGTTGTTCTGGGACAAAATGCTGAAGTGATGTGAAATACATATTAATGAGCAGCAATGGAGTGGAAGCGAAGCAGCAATTGTTTTATATTCTTAACATCTCAATTGAAAATTCAAAAGGAACATTTTTGTTTTCTTCCCCCCCCTCCCCCCCCCCAGTCTTACCAACATGAGAACACTTAACACAAAACCCCTATGAGAAATCAAAATGCTAGAAGAAAATAAGATTTTTCTTTCTGAGATTCTTGACACCTGAAAAATCTAATTTGAGATAAGACTACAATTGTCAAAATACTTTCCCAAACATCTAAAAATATAATTTATTTTTTTTTTAAGAGAGTATTTTAACATCTACTTTCTCAAACAGGACACTCTTTTCTATGTTACTTACTATATGCAAAGATTAGCTAGTACAATATTCAAATTGTGCATTCAGGTTTTGTTCCCTCTGTTTCCCATTTCTGTCTAAATAAACCCCTCGTAAAGTCGCTTAACTGCAGTAGGACCTGAGCAGCCTCCACTGGTTTATATAGGCAGTATTTGTTGCCTCAATTTACATCTTCCTGGCCCACAGCATGAAACAAAAGCAGTCCAGAGAATTACATGTGCATCAAGTAACCAACTTATTTTTGGTGTGATTGTCAACTATGTAGGTTCAAACTCTTTGCAAATTTGCAGTCAGTAAGCATGGAGGAAAACAAGCCTGAAATGCTCTTCGGAATGTCTGTACACAGCCAAAAATAGTTTAAATTACAGGTAAAATCTAAAGTGACAGCAGTATAACTGCACTGGAGCAGTTTCTTCTGTCATCTCTAAGTTATCTCCCTGACTTTTCAGTATACATCCCTGGTATAATAATGCACTTACGAATGGCCTACAGTGTATTACATAGTCATAAACGTATAAATAATGGACTATTGTTACGGATCGTGACAATGTACATATTGCACAGGGCGAGCTCTCTGCTGACTCAAAGCAAGTACAGAATCTGGTGTATTCTCCCTGGCAAGCTCAGTAAAACCCAGAGACAAAGCTGAGCTAAGACCCCTTGAGATTTGTTACATCCCAATTGCTGAGTGTTTTGCCTCGTTTAGGAAGAAGGGATTGCAGTTCATCACTCCTTTTGCCTTCTGACTGCTGAAAGTGCAGCTCAGTTATATGCTACCACAGGTGAGACCAGTTCTGCCGAAGGCTTGATAGGTTAAAGGAAACCAACACAAAACAAACTTTGATCTTGCTATCAGTAATAAGTCTTTGTCAGAGTTGTCCAGTATCAACTTCTGTGCCATTGCGAGCGTTTAAAATGAGGACAATAACACTTTCTGCAGAGGAGAAGCAGGACAGAAGAGGGGTACCTAGGATGCCAGAAGTTCTTTCCTGGTACTTCTGAGCTTGCCTTTGATGCTATTTATGGGAATACTCAGACTTAGGGCCCAAACCAAGAAAGGAGTATGCCTAAATCTCTTTCATCCCGTTAAAGCACAGTTTTAAGTACCTTCTGAAAGTGAGCCTATGCTGGTAAGACCCATACAAATATCTGCAGGATCTTTTTGACCCAAGGCTGATGACCTAAGATAATATTTAAAAGAAACCTGCTCTGAAGCCAGTTTATACTATAAACTACCCACTGTGGTGTATTTTGCATTCTCCTGCGAAGCAGCTGGTATTGGCATCTTGCAGGCTGTTGCACTAAGAGGACACTTCTTGTGATTTCAAAGATTTTAGCTACAGATGGAAATCGTTTTCTTCCCCTGCTCTCAAAATCCTTAACCCTTCACCCACTGGACAAATAGCATCTTAATAGGCCCCAAGAATGTTGCTCCTAAATTTAAGTGTACTGTTTTTTTCAGCTCTGCTTTGTCTTTATGATAGATGGCACTTAGGAATTAAGGAAAAGGAAGCAAAGCATGCAGTGGATGCTAAATTTCTGTATCTCTTTGATTTCATTGTTACCTCCTGAAGAAAGCTGCTTACTGCAGGATCTCACCAGGGCTGACAAAAAAACTCACAAGGGACAGAAAGCCACCACTGTGTAAATGACCAATGCAAAATCTCCATATAAAAGAGAAAATCCTTTTCCAAGGTATTCTGAAGGGAATTTAAGTGACACAAACACTTTAGGCTGGGTCTGTGCACACGGGTGGATTTCAATAATCTAAATAAAAAAGGAAAAAAAAAAAACAACCAACCAACAAACAAAACCAAAAACCAAACAGCTTTCCAAATCCTTCAGGTTTGGTTGGAAAAGGCTTATTTCATCTCCACTTAAAAGAAATTGCTCCCAGTCTTTGTTCACAATGGTGCTGTCTTTCGATGTGCAAACTTCATCTGTAACTGATGTGAAATTCAGAGTTTTCTTCTGATGCAGATCAGCGTCAGTCAGTCTTTGCATCCATGGTGCCCAACGAAACACCTACCCCGGTGATCTGAGGAGGGGAATAGTCTGATGCTGCCTGCAGAGGCGATGCTGGACTCTCGTTTCCAGCTGGTGGTGATACGCTTTGTGGAAGGTGCTGAGAAGTTGGGGGTTGTGAGTGAGGGGGTGTCAACATGTGGTTCCGAGTAAGTCTGCTAATGCTTTGCAAAAGTAGTAGTGAAAAAAAACCCCAGCGTCCTGAATTGCTCAACTTTTACACAGTGCTAGTTGTTTCTAACGCGGTGCAGAAGGCAGTGAAAGCTACTGGTGTTATCAGCTCCATTCAAGGTGGGAAAATCTACCCGAGATACTGACTAAACGGAGACTCCCTGCTTTGCAAGAGCTTCAATCTGTATTTCAGTATTTTTTCCCTCAGATCACCCCCCTTTTGTATTTGCCTAGTTGTATACAAGAGTTTTTGCATGACTGTGGCTGTGAGAGAGATGCTAGAACAGCTGTTTTTGTGATCCACTGAACATATCATGACTATTTTTCCACTGTCAATAAACACAAGAAAGAAGAGACATTCTCCAATGCTTAGAAAGGCCATGGGTTTTCCTTGCTTATGTAGCTTTGCCTATTCTTGTAGTAAGGTTTCTCTCCAGTTAAAGCCTCCAGTTGGTCCGTGTGTGAGAGGGAGGATGGGGGGGTCCGTAAGCTGCCAAACACCTGTATCTCCCAGTTCTTCGCACGAACAAAATCCCAAGTATGGAATCTGTGTGAGGAGAGATGGAAATAAAGGCAATGAGCAGGGATCAAGCTGCGCAAGGAGGGAGCTCCCCTAAGGGCTGAAGTACTGTTGTGCTATTGAAGCATTTAACTGTCTTCTCTCTCTTTCCCTCTCCCCAAAGTCCATTTTCAGAAGAAGTCCGTAGGACTCAGGTGTGACAGCCAGACGGTGTGTACCACTGTGTGTGCAGAACACTGGGAAAGTCAGATTATACTCCTGTAATGTAGTTTAAATATGGGCCAGTCCAAACCAAAGATGTCCTGTTGGCTGACATGGTCCCAAACCCTGAAGGCCAGCACAGCTACGGAGGAGGTATGCGGATGCTACTCTGGCTCAGGTGTCCTCAGATCAGTACCAGCTATGAATATCCCACAGAGTGTCTGCAAGGTTGGCAGTGAATAATGCTATCTCCTTAGCCAGGGCAGGGGTAAAGCAATGAAGGCAGAAGACCGCATTAGAATTTTCAGGCCTTTTCCCTGACCATTAAGAGAGTGGAAAGAGAAGGGGAAGTGTTGTAGGCCAGAAATGCCCTGTTAGCTGTGGTTAAGGTGTTTTCGGCACTGGAGGGCACTGTGGGAGCCTCTGTACAGCCCCGGTATCTACAAGCATAAAGCATGAAGTGACCGCAAGCCCATTTGTAGGTGGGCATCTGATCCCATGCTGTCTGCTACAGAAGTGGCATGTTAAGATAAGCCTCTTAAACCCATCTGCTTTACTCTCCTGACTTCTGAAATGGATGGAACACAATAATGCGCAGAACGATCAGACAAGAGGAACAAAGTGTCCTTTGCCTGGTTAAGCAGATTGCAAATTTCTTTTCTCTTTGTAAAGCCAGCGAGCTTTACTCCTTGCTGGTAATTACCTTTCGGACCATCTGTACAAAGTCCTTGGAGTTCTGCGGCGAGAGCCCTTGGAGCTGGCAGGTACAAGCCTCCAGGGAGGATGCGTGTGCCACTATCAGGATGTTATTTCCTGAAATAAAGTGAGAAATGCCAGCTGAGGAGGGAGATGAAGCCAGCTTTAGGGACTGCTGCCAAGATCAAGGAGACCATTTAAAATTTGCAAAACAGGTTCAGTTTATCATATAACAACACATTAAACTGTATGTATACAGGGGAAAAAGCATGGTTTAGTGACATATTTAGAGCATTTCTCAATTTTCAGGATAATGGTTAACTCAGTGCTACTTAGTTTTAACAGGGCTTTCTGAAGAAAACAAGAATTCCAGTGAGATTTCAGCTGTCTTGTGAAGCAAATGCTTTCCTCCTACCCCAAAATTAATTCTGATTAAAACAAGCACTTTACTTTCAGTTGCTGGTTTTCCACAGTGATAGCTTTAGATTTCCATTTCCAAGAGCCTTTACAACCAATGACACACTGTGCTATCAAGGTTTGTGGGAAAACTATTAAAATATAAGCTTAGAATGTAGAGACGAATCAGTGAAATGAAATTAGTGAAATCACCAGAACTTAGAAACATCCTGTTCCTATACTGTGAATGGGAAATAAAAGCTAGAGCTTTTTTAATTTCAATATTGTGTTTGGAGAAATGTCCTATATTCTTTGTGGATAGTATATTTCAGAAGAGTAGCTCAGATAGGGGATGCCCCATCTGATGCTAGTAACAACAGAGTGCAAGTGCCTTATTTATTCCCTGGAGAAACAGAGAGCTTGTGTGGGGTAGGGATCCCTAAAATACTTCTGCTATTAAATTTATGGACCTTTCTTGTGAGGTAAGCATATCTGAACTCAGTTCTGACCCATACAGGACTTTGCAATGTCTCCGGGAGAGGGGATGAGAGATTCAGGTATGGGGATTCATCTCCTTGAAGAGGGAAAGACTGGTCAGGAATATCAGCATTCACATCCCAGAAAGCCTGTCTTGTTTTTCACCCCCTCTGTAGCACTTACCTTTGCCTTTACATTCACTGATGATTTCTTTTGTTACTTGATAGCTTCTACTTATGTATGTATCATAAGATTCGGAAACCACTAACTTGCTGACAGGAATATGAGGTCTGTGAGCATAAAAACAAGTACGGTAAATTGGAAGAAGCAATAATGTTTTAAGTGCAAGTTACGATTCATCTGAAAGTATCTGTTTAACTCTTCTAATTCCCCGCATCCCCAGAACTGCGTGTTGTGTCAGGACCACTATGATGATTTTTAAACTCCACAACTTGAGATGTTTACTGTTCCTGCATTAAGATATTTCAGTTATCTGGGAAAAATTATAGTCGCTTCCTCTGATGTGGACCAGTTAGTGGAGACAGCAGACAACACGCTGACGATACGTGTGTTACATGCATCAGTAACAATGCCACTTTGCATTTATTTAAGCATGTGTCCTTTGAGGAGCAGATTTCAGGGCTCACCCACCCGCCTAAAGTTAGTGAGTGGCAGGAGAGCTAAACTTGTCCCGGGCAGGAGCAGGGGAGCTGGCAGGGACGGCAGGACAAGGACGGTGTCGAGCTGGGGGCTCCGCGCTCGCAGCAGCGCGACAAGGCACCGGCCAAGCCATCTTTTCCCAGGCTGAGGTCTGCGCTGGGCTACCACGGCTCCCAGCTCGGGGCTGGGCTGTCAACTTCTGTGTCTGTCAGGGGAGATCGGGCAGGTACAGGGAGAAACGTGGAGCGTGGAGAAGGCAGATGCTGGCTCGCTTTGCTGCTCAGGCTTTGATGGTGAAGGGCAGAGGCAAACTGCTGCTCTGGCCCTCTGTAAAGCTGCATTGCTGGGAAATGCCTGGAATTAGCTGGACTCCTCCTGGGCCAGGGCGTTTCAGTGAATTGCCTGGCAGGACTCTGGCCAGTTGTATCAGCTGGGGTAGGTTCATGTGCAGAGGAGCAAGGGGCGGGAAGCAGAAGGCTGTATTTTCCCTGCTGTGGTGCAAGGAAAAGGCCAAACTTTTCCTTACATTCAGTGATCTGATATATCTACAGGAATTACCCTTGTGAGAGGAGACAGAGAGCACCAGGAGGGCTGTCTCCCAGTCCCCCACCTAACCAGCTGAGCACACAAGAGCCAGCTCTCTTCTTGTGCTGAGAATATTCATTATGGTCTTCCCAGAAGACACGTGTTTTCCAAAGCAGAGACTCTCCTGTGGTCTAGACGCTCTGCTGAGCGTTAGCCATGTGATACCCTTTCAGGGATAAATACAGTGTAAGGACTTCTATTTAGATACTTGGAGTTGGAATTTTAGCTGCAAACCAAAAGGACACAATGTAAGTTTACGGTATAATTAGGTATGAAAAAAAATGGCTTTTCTTTACATTTTTCCTTTTTTTTTTTTTTTTTCTTTTTAATGTTTCAACTGCTATTCCACTTGAGGGTTCTTAAAGACATGGGTGCCCTGAGACACTGGGAGACACCAGCATTTCTGGTGATACCATAAACCACAAAAGCCCAGCCACAAAGTAGTTGTCACCAAGCCCATGTAGGTGGAACTCCTGTCTATGTATACTACATGTGTCTTATAAATGCTTTGTTTTTATCTGAGATTGCTCAGCCGGTGATCAGGCTCACACTTAAAATAGAAAGGGCTGGTCTCCGCAAAAAGTCATAGTGATACAGAAATTTCAGCAGTGAGATGCAGTGGAGGACAGGAACCGTGTGACCTTTCTGGAGTTTCCCTCTTTGTGGGAGCTCTTTGAGTCTGGCTTGTATAAATGAATCATAAATTTGAGAGTAAGGAGCCTGAACAGATCATCTTGTCTGTTCTGTGCCACATGACTATTTCTGCTGGGTTTTCTTTAGCCTTCCTCTCCGCAGCTTACAGTAAAAAGCATTTGTGTGTTAGGCTGAGGGCACCATGGCTGCGATGCTTTACTGGGGAGTCAGAAGGTCTTGAGTTTCCTTCCAGACGAGGCTGCTCCCAGGGGCCCTGTGGTGTTTGCTGGCAATGACATTGGGAACGCGGAGGTATGGCCATGTGGCTGGATAAAAGGAAAGCAGCAGAGGCTGGCAGGGCATGAATTTGAGATATGGAGCCTCACCAGGCAGCAGGACTGATCTGTGCAGCCGCAGGGGTGGCTGGCAAAAATGCTGGGCTCTGCGAAGGTCAGCTCTGCGCTTTTGGAGCTCTGTCAGGGCCCCCAAAAGCCGAGTGAATTATCGTTGTATTTCCCTTTTCTGCAGAGTGGGAGGCAAGATCAGTGGTGCTTATCCATTTGCCATTCTAGATGTTTACTCTGTTTGCTTTCAGCAACTGTTTTTAGGTTGAATACCATGAAAATCTGAGTCAGAAACCTGCCATTTTTTCCACTAAGAACTCTTCAGATGTAATTGCTGAGAGGTGAGAAATGCTTAAAGTTTAGCTCTTTGATAGAAAACCTCTGAATTTTGATGTCACAGGAAACCCTGAATTCCTGACAGATGTAAACATGTTCCCCAGGGTGATGCAAAATTTACAGTTAAGATCCCTCACCCTACTAATGGTAAGAGAGACAGACTAGATTTTTCCTCTGGGGAAGGGAGGGGCGGGTGTCAATGAGCTCTGGATCCGCTTCAATCTATGAACACCATGGTCAGGGAACTAAGTCAGCAAAACTAGTTCTGTTAGCTTAGCCCAAACTCCTAAGTTTTAGGAAAAAGGGTTAAACAAACCAGAAATACTTTGAGGGTTTCCTGGACACCTGAAAGATGCGCAGGATGGAAGGAGCACTAGAAAGAGAACCTACATGATCAGCAACATAGCTGGACCTTGCCAGTGATCTGGGAAATCTGATTTATAATAAGCCATTCTCAGGCCTTGAGCCTACTTGAAGGTTATTCCGGGAGCCTCAGCAGCTCTTCCAGTCACTGCCTAAATCTGAAAACTCAACAGAATGTTACTCTTCAAAAAACAAAGCCAGAAAGCAATTGGAGACCCTCTCACCCCCCTTTCAGCTACCTGTAGGTTGTATCAACGCTTAGAGTAGCTGCAGCTAAATCCACGGGGGGTATCCAGGCAGGTAGTGTGCTCCCAGAGACCCACTTGGTCCATTCAAATAAGCCCGGCTCTATTCGAATTTTCAGGTTGTTCTCCTGTTGCATACCTGGCGAAGGCAGAAAGGAGACCAGGTATCAGTGAATGTAGCTGGGGAGGAAGGCAGCAAGACTTTGCAACTTTAATACTTCTGTTTGATTGTAAATTAATTTTTTTCTCTCTGAGTAGTCAGTTGATTAATAGTATGTGTGAAAGATGAAGTATTTAATATATGTACTTGGCATATGATATCCCAGGGAATGCAAACTTCTGGCTGGCAGCTACATGTAATATGCTGAACCCAGGCATGACTGTATTTTGGAACTATTCCTCGACTGTTTTCCATGCCAGGGCATCTCATGCCTCGATCACTATTTCCCTTCCCAGTTTCTGCAGTAAATTATTCTTACTGGGGATAGGAAGTTGCTTGGTGGTAGCAACTGCTGTGGAAGCAGGCACGGGCGCAAGGCTTGCCGAGCTGGACGTGGCCAACCATCCCAACCACACATCTGGCTTCTGGGGGGGGGGAACAAACCCAGCCCTGACTGGCAGCTGGTGCCAGGGCCAGCACGCTGCTTGCCTAAGCACTTGTCACACTGTACAAGTAGAAAAGGGCTCCTTATGGGCAGTGTTGCGCTAATGGGAAGGATATTCCCATGGAAATAATCCTCACCCTGAATTACCATGTCCTTGGGTCTCCCATGCAAGGCTCCCTTTTATCTGGGTGGCAGTGTTTTTCACAGAAAGTGAGGAGAATGCAGCCTTCCCTGCTCACTGGGTTCTTACCTTTCAGGATATTGTGTGCTGTCTGTACACACCGTAAGGATGGGGAGCTGTAGATGTAGTCTACAATGGTATTTGTTTCTAGCAAGGCTTCACCTGCAAGCAAATTTCAACACCCATCAATAAAGCCAGACGAATGGCACTGTAACAGCAATGGCAGTGTGCAGGGTATCTGCCACCGAGCAAGGAGCTAAAGCAGCTTCCCAGATGCACGGCTTGTATTTTGGGAAACATGTTTACCCGTCGTATTTTATTTCAGTGGTGTGTTGGGTACTGTGATGTGCACAGCTGTGGAACTGGGATATATTTTTTCTGTGTGTGCCGCTCCACGCGCATCTAGGTACTTAACCATTATGCAAGGAAATCACAGAAGCTTTTGCTCAGTTTCTGCTTCTCTTAGATTTAGCCAAAAAGCAAACAGTGTGCTGAGAAAAACTGTAAAGTGCTTGAATTTAATTTAATTTCATTTATAAGCTGTAAATCAGAATGATTCAACTTAACTCAAACCCAACTTAATTCAATTGGCTTGATTCTTCGCTAGTATAAATTACCATGTCATTACACAGGTGGAGGATCACTGAAAATGAGATAAGAATCAACTCTGCTATTGGGGTTATTAATATTCTTGCAATGCTAAAGGGAACCAAATGAGAACAGGAGTCTGCTCAGCGTTGCACAGACTTGTAGTGAGAAAGAATTATATTTCTGTTATATTTGAAGAGGCAGGACAAAGAAGTGGGAGCAAGAAGGGGTTATTAACCCTGACTTCGTCTGTTTAATGATGGCTGTAGCCATGTCAAACCCATCCATAAATCTCTTGAGAGAAGTGGGGTGATTTAGAGGGAGCGGCACAGCTAACAGCCCTCCGTCACGGGGAAGCTGCTCATTTGCTTCGGCTGTCGGAGGAATTACGGCTCCAGCAATCGTCGGGGCTGCGTCTGTGCGGCTGCCTGCAGACGGCCGGTGTGCCGTGGCCGCACCGGCAGCTCGACGGCATCGGGGTCACGTCTGCAGTTGCGTGCTCGGACCCGATTAATGACACCAGCAAAGCGTGCTGTGAGTGCTCCCAGATTCGCCTTCTGTTCTGGGTGTATTGCGAGCCCTGATGCCATGTGGCCAGGAGCCGGAGCATCCTGCTGTTGCACAGTGATTTCTTTTTGTTTAAAAAGCAAGTATAATTTTAGCTGGCCTAGTTTGAATGTGACCGACACCAAGTGCTCTAAAGGATTTGAATTTCAGAAAATGCTAAGTACTGCTCTCTGAAGCTCACGTCTTTAAGGCTCCTCTAATCACAGTGCTCAATATGCGCTCTTTGACTCCCAAGTAATTTTCTGTCTGTACACAAACCAACAGGCTCAGAAGTCAGGGACAAGGATGGGGGGGTGGGAGAACACTGAAAAGAATTTGGACCGGTTTTGCGCCACATAAATGTAAAGCCAGACAGGCTGATAAAAGTATATTGGTGTAGCAAACTGCAGGCCAAAATTTAAGATTTTCAAAGTCAAGGAAAAAACGTATTTTGCATGAGGTGACTGTCACGCTGCTGCATTTCTCACCGACAACGATAACAACAGCATCTTCCAGCGTTGCACGTTTACAGGGCAGTAGGAACGCTCTGCAACCGCACTGCTGATGGCTCTGATTTCATACCATGTCCTAGATTTTGGGCTTTGTTTCTTCTTCAGCTGCAGCAGCTGAAGGAGACAAGGTTTCCTTCGAAAAAGGGGGCTTGCTGGGGAAGGTGAAGGGACTTTGCGAAGGCTCTTGAAATGTCTAAATCCTGTCTGTTGAGGGCCTCTGCTTCGTTTTTTTCTGCCTTGCACTTTCTCTTTCTCTGCCTGGGTGTGTGGGAGGAAGGTAACAAAGCTTCCTGGGCAAGCTCTTGTCTGCTGAGGACAACTTACCAACAAGTCTTGCCTGCGTACAGCCCAGCACAGTGATTGGCGCGTCTTTTTCGTAATCCCTGAAACCGCCGCTTCTTTGAGGTAAGCTGTGAGGCATATTCAGGTTACTACGCATATACCTTCCTGTGAGGGAGAGATCAGAAGTAGTTGCTGGAATTATTCGATCAGAGAGAGGCAGAGAGTGTCAGGCCTGTTTCTACCCTCTTTCACCACATCTGCACTTTGCAGGCATTGCCCAGGCCTGGCTGTCGAGCAGTTTTTCCTGTGTAAAACTATCAGGAATCTGGTAAAATTAAGCAGCTCTATCAGTACAAAATCATCAGAGAATGTTGCTAATGTTTTTAAAGTTATATTTAGGACAGATTTCCCTAACGGAACATAATTTCTATCCCACAACAAAAGAAACCTCAAATGTTACGCTTTTACAGGAGGCTAAAATGTCAGAGCTCTTCAAACATAATTTAGAAAGAAGGTAGTTGTAAAATCATCCTTTTTTTTCAATGATTTTGAGTACAAGATATTGGCAATTTTTGAATAGAAAAAGGACTTTTTGGACAAATTTCTGATCAGCTCTTATGCCAACACAGCTGGAAGTTATAGTCTGTTCACTATAATCTGAAACTCAAGCATATTACTGGGTTGCAAACTCCGTTTTATGCCCCAAAAGGCACTATGAACTGTACTTGTAGTGGTAGTATTTTCATTTAGGACACAGCTAGCAAAAGATTTTCCTGATGGTAGTAGATGTTTGCACTGGACACTGACTACTAACATCATGACTTCGTTTCCAAATGAAAATGCTCTTTGGTGACATTACTCTAATGTAATCTTTCTTGCAATAGTTTCCCAAATATTAGCAAATGTCGTATTTACTCCCTGGCTTGTGCTTCTGCTTCGGACTGCAGCCCTACCACGGCAGAGCTCTCCACTGAGATGCTGTGCTACTCATAACTGCTCAAAGCAAGACTTTGTGTTAGGAGACCCCAGCTTCCATCTAAGCTTTACCACTCTCCTTCCCTCACCTAAGCCTAGACCCCGAGAGACACACAGGAGCTGACTCACCTTTGGCATCAAAACACTGTGACAACCAGTACTTCCCAAAAACGACATCCATCCTTTCCCCATGCCTGCAGACAAACAGGCAGCGTTTCTGAGGCCCTGGCTGGCTGGTTATTCTCAGAGGCTGGAAGGAAAGTTATGGCATGTTTGACCTTCATCAAAGTGCAAAGGTTTTTCTGAGATCTCATTTACTAACGGGAGTCAGGACCAGGCACCGCTTGCTTTACCCCCATGCAAATGAAGTTTTACTCTTCTGAAGTTGGTAAAGGTATGCTGGTATAAAACAGCTAAAGTGAGCAGAGGATGGGGGGCCCTGCCTCCCCATGCTAAGAGCAAGTCTGGGGACAGCAATGTCTTCTGTGCCTATGGTTAATCCTGTCATTCAGAAGCTTTAACTTGTAACTTCTGAGGCAGGCAGTGAAAGGAGACCAAAGGATAAGTAGTTGGGGAAAACGCAGTTGCTGGAAACTTGCCACTAAAACTGTGTGTGATTTATATATATATATATGTGTGTGTTGTGTGTGTGTGTGTCCCTACCTGCACGTTCTGGCAGATGATAGTGAGGGGCCCTGCATCCCCAGGTCCTTGGTCTTCCTGCTGTCTTCTTTCCAGAGCTCCGTCAGTGAAGGCTTGAAGGGACGGGGAAGATGTAGTATTCAGAATTGAGTAGGACCTGCCAAAAATAGAAGGATGTTGGCTTTGGGAATGCTCTGGACTCCGTGTGCTCAGGCTGCAGAAAGGACATTTCTGTAGACTTCAGGAACTGATGATAATTACCGTTGTCATGTTATTACATTATTATTTGCATTTTAGTGCTGCGAGAGAGAACCTTGCTAGGTGATGTACACACATTAAGAGACAAATCCCATCTCAGCAGGCTTTCCGTTTCCTTAGAAACAGTTTCACAGAATAACAGTTCCCAAACTTTGGTCTGCTAGGCTCTGTCAGCCTTCAAATATTCTCACGGAAAACGCCAAGACCTTCCTCACAGCTACAGGATACTCGCTAACATCATCTGGGGACCAGCTGCACATTACTTACCATGGTCTTGTGGACCAAAGTTTGGAAACTAATGGCTACGGGGAGTTTTCACTCACCTTTGTAGCAGAAGCTATTACTTCAGTAGAAAGCTGAAGCATAGCCCTGCTTCTCATGCTGGGCAGTTTTCAGGGATCATGTGCACAAAATAGCTTGTATCCCCCGGTAGGGACATGGCACACTCAGTCTGGGTTGTTGTTTCTACATTTTTCAGTGCTGTCTATTCTGTTTCCAATCCACAGTGGGAATTTATTCTCACCAGTGCTTCCTGTTAAGTGTAGCCAAAAGGGTATAATAGATCCCATTCTCCCTCAAGGGGCTTATCTAATGATGCTCCCTCTGAATAGAGCTTTCATGTCCAGATGTTCAAGGACTTTGACCAAGACCCTTGGGAGTAAACTCTGACAGGCAATTACAGAAGCCTCAGTGACCCTCTGCTGATTCAGTTACACTGTATGGCTTACATTTGCTTAGTCATTAAAAAAACCCCCTTGGCAGATAATGTATATGGTCATTTACTTTGACAGAAATAGTTGCTGTTGCTTGCACTTTTCAGTGCCTTAAATATGTCAGAAGTTGCTTCCAGACTAGCACCTAGTTAGGATAAAATCTCAGAGGGGTTTCATAGCTGTTAAAATAATACCAAGCACCTCTACCAATGGAACAAAAATAGGTCACTACATTTTTGTGAAGAACTCATCTTCTGTGAGACTGTATGATTTGCACCAGTTTAAAGAAGAAAAAAAATACCATACTGTTGGACCCTTATCTGGTGGAATTAGGGTGCAAGGACAAGACTGAGGTACTGGCTTATTTGGTCAGATGAATGTGCTATGCAGAGAAGCACTGGCAGGCAAGGGGAGCGGGAGGTGGGAACCAGCCATGCTGGGGACAGCACTGCTGGTCCCTGTCCAAGAGCGTGAGGCAGCAGCCTTGCAGCAGATAACCTCTCCAGCCTCCTGCTCTAACTCTGTCAGACCTGACCTTCTTGGTTTCTAACTGTATTTTATTTGTGGTGAGTTCCCAGCAAGGGCTGGGCTCGCTCCAAGGAACTGTTCCTCTCATTGCCCAAATGAGCATCAGAGGTCAGGGCAGCAAATACCTCTGAGTTAGGCATGGTAGGACTCTGAGGTGCAACAGGGGTGGTGGATTTGAAGGGGAGTTAAATGTAGGCAGGAGAGCTTTGTGGATAAGCTGAAGGAAATATTACCGGGTGCTGTGGTGAGAAGTTATGTCTAACCCTCCTCAGAATATATGTATGCAATACCTTACAGGCACACTGGGACCACACTTCCAGTTGGCAGGATAAGGCCAACTCTGATCCAAAAGCTGCCTGAGTGCATTAATGTGTGCTAAGCACTGAGCAGGGAGCAAGAACAGACATTTATCACAGTATTAAGTGGTCAACTTGGAGTGTGGGTGCTGCTAGCACAGATACATAAATACCTGAAAACGAATATCTCAATATGAGAAGAATCTGAATTTCTTAGCTAGGACCCATCTCTGTTGCTGTACGAAGTAGATCTTGTGCCTGAGCTCTTTGTCTTTACTTCTGTATTGCAGCTTCTAGCCCCTCATCCCATGCCAGCCCTTTCCTGCTTTTCCCATATGACAGTTTAAGGATGCTAGCCTGGAGAATACTACAGCTTTGTTTGAGTATCCCTCTTCCCTTTACCCCCAGGAGCTGCTGCACAATTTCTAATACTTTCTTCTCTCTAAGCCCTTATTAAAAGGCCAGGAATGCTTTACTGTCTATTTATAGATGCTAGGATTAGCTGTGAGTGATGATGAGGCAAAGCCATGCTACCTTGGTGTGTCTGGAGGAGAGCCACCAGCCTGTCTTCAGTGATATCTCCTTGATGTTGCTGGAAAACAGAAACCGCTGAAGCTATTTCAGCTTAGTCATCTTCTAAGCATAGGTCATTGTATGGAAGATTTTCCCAAAGGCTTGTGGTTCCTCTGCTTGGCAAACAGAGACTGAGGGCAGACAACAACATCTACCGTCTTCTGGATGATGCCTTGCCTTCACTGCTCTGTCAGTGGTACTGCTGTGTCCCTGGAAGTAATGTCCTCCTAGTCAGGAAAGGCTCCTTGAAGAATGGAGATGCTGCAGAGAGGGTCTCTGTCATGGCACAACAGTGCTGGTCCTCAGCTCTGTGTAGGAAAAGACTCCTCTGCTGCATCACTCATCATTATCTAGAGGAGAGGGATCCTGGGGGAAAACGAACCAGCCGTTCATTGTTGCAGAATGGGAGGAAGACAGAGTGGAAAACAACATACTGAGGCCCAAATATAGTTTGAAAAATAAGGGCTGTTTTTCCTCCCCCTGGTACTTGTGCCAAGTTTGATTTTTCAGGCTTATTGAAGGGGCAAGGAATAGCTTTGGCATCTCATGAGAAGCTGAAATAGACTGTGGTGTAGTATTTACAGTGTTTCTATCCATTTTTGGGCAGAGGAAATGACTGTTTCTGGCTTTGCTGGTAATGGAAAGACAGCTTTGGGGTGATGCTGGGTCCACAGATACAAAGATAGCACACTTACTTCTACCACATGCCTTTCACACATATGTGGAGAGCCCCATGGTCTTGAATGCTTGGTTTTTGTGGCTTCTGCGGGGCAAGTAAATTCTTGTACCTTCACTGGGCTTCCCACTTCCTCTGGGCTCCGTGTGCTGAAGGTGGAGAGTTTCTTCTGTTGACTTGGTAGCCCATTAATTTTCAGGCACAGAAGACAACTTAGAAAATACCCTGCAGGCAGTTTGCTGGGAAGCTTTAAGGGTGGATATGCATATATATATATATACACATATATATATATACACACACACACACACAGAGAATATATATATATATATATATCTTTATTACTGGATCTGTAGTTTGGATTAATTCCAAGTAGTTTCAGCTCACCAGTAGCTTCTGCTGCTACCAGGAGAGGATTTCCATCTTCACACCATACAGGGGGAAAAGTATTTTGGTTTTAACATACCTGTGGCCAGGTCTTCTCCTAGGCTCAATCAGAACAGATCTCCTGATATTGATACAAACATAATTGGTTCCTCCCCCAAGGAGAGTCAAGTGCTTGGTTCGGAAAGGTTATTTTTGCCTTGCATGCCCTTATTGAGGGGGATGACAAGAATGGGTTACACAGACTTAGGATCTGGGCTGCGTTGTGTGGGATGCCGAAGCAGTTTATCTTCAGTTACTTTCCAATCTAGAACTGACCAGAGATCGAATGTTTCTGCTCACTGTTACCAGCAGGTCCAGTCCTTGGCATGAGAAGAAATTATGCAGGGATGTGCCACAGCCAGCAAAGAACTGTAGTTGAGGTGTATGGAAAATCCCTGGGGTTTGCAGAATAGAAGTGATGCCATTCCTATTTCTAGTAGATAGGGAAAGGATTCAGACCTGGAGTCTCTCAAGACACAACCTGGTTTCATGGGCAGTAACTCTGCCTCAAAGGCAAAATCTCTTCTCCCGTATTAAACACATCATCAAGCTTGTCTTCTTGTGGCAGCCTGTTGGTCTGCAGCTAAGGTAGAGACCTTTCTACAGGGCAGGGACAGCTTTTGGTTGTGTCTTTGTACAATGCTAGGCAGGAAGGTCTGTGCGCTGGGCACAGCTCTTGAGGCACTATTTGGATATTAGCCATAAAAACCATGTCCTGCAAAGGCCACAGCTCAGCTTCTGCCTCACCTGAGTAGTGCAACAGGAAAACCTTCTTCAGGTGAAATGTCCACAAACTTGCCAATCTAATTTTTCTGTAATAAAGACTTGATCAAATATCCCAGAACAGCATTTTGCCTGTCACATCTCTTCCGTGGTATAGCCAGGGTGCTGAAGCCCAGTGAGCTGTATTTTCATGACGATCTCGATAATGCATGATTTTCACTTGAAAAATGCAGTCTCTGGTGACTAGGAGGGAAAGCTCCATGGCTGTTAATTCTTTCTTTTTCATCCTCTGCAGGATAAAACAGGATGTGGCTGCGTACACAGAGGCAGCACAAACCAGCCCCTGGGATCACAGCATCGCTCGCCAACAACAGCCTTAGTCCCAACACCATGAGCTGGGTCCAATCTCCTACAGTCCCTGTGAGTACTGCTACGCTTATTTTCATGCCTCTGAAATTAAGATATCTGTATGCCATTCTCTTATCACAAGGATCCTACTCTGAATACCGTGGCCTAGACAGCAGTGGGGCTTAGGTTTTCCTTAGCTTGCTATATTGTTTTGACCACATGACATTCTGTAACCTAATATTCCCTGCGGGAAGCTGTTATGCAAAATGAGGCTGTTTCCGGGTATGTAATAATGGTTTTGATAAACGCTTCATACTGCACGCTCCAATTAATGATTTATAGTCTTTAGTAGTAATCAGGGAAGGGGCATTTCCTTTCTTTGCTTGTCTGGAGGCAGAGGTGCTGGAGTTACAAAACATTTGGCTTTCCTTTTAGTTGCTGCTGCAATAGTAATTCTTTTCCGTGGTATTCCGTAGGCCTCAAAACTCTTCCAAGCACTATAAGAAAAAAGAGAATCCACTGGAGCAGGCTGCTGCAGTCTTTGTGGACCTGAGACCATTTTGGCTGGCAAATTTTAGGGGAAGAAAGAATGGTCTTGCAGGATTGCAAATTGGATGGTCTGGATTAAGTCCTGTCTTCATACAGACACCAACTGACTTTGCTCATGTGTCTTGATTTTCAGTTCTTTAAGCCCTGGTTAGTGGAGATATTTTCTTTCCTTGTAATGAAAGCTGAGTTGGAGTTTGATAGCGACAGATTCGGTATAGATAGGTTTGTTCAGTTTGGCAAATGTATGGATGAAAGCCCTTTATTTGTGGTGTTAATTTCTCAGAGGGCAGGCAAGAAAAGAATAGATGGTTGTGACAAGAGGGGTAAATGAGTGATCTCTTGCTATGCTTGTCCCTGCATGATGGACTTCTGGGTTGGGGAGAACTCAGGGTAAGCCAGGGCTGGCTTACAGAAGGGCAGTGGTCGGTGGCAGTCACATCTGGAAGCCAGCCTGCAAGCTACGACTGCCCTGTGCCTGCTCTCCGTCTGTCACTCACTACATTGCATGTGTTAAGCACGAAAAGTCACAGCCGAAGAAAAAGGCTGCTTGCCTCTTTTTGCTCTTTTTGTTTCCTGCATTTTGCTCGATTTAAGGAGTTGTTGGATCAGTTTCTGTTGAAGTGCTGAGTCAGTTCCTCTGGCTGTCCTGTGCTGACACGGGTTACCAAACACTTTCCCCTTCTGCTCAGAGATCCCCCCTCCCCAGGTCATGTTTGCCCACTGAAACCTGAAATCCGAACTCTCCGTGTTTTGTTCTGTATCTCCATTCCTTCCCTTTGTAACTAACCTGCTTGCTGGTGTGACCGTAACCGAACTGCTGTACCTGCACGGCCGCTCCTTGTCGTCCTGTGCTCTTACATACAAACTACTCCCTACGCTCCAGATTTGTCAAAGGCGTTTGGGTGCTTAGGGATGCAGGCAGCCATGTAGGAGTGTCCAGACGCACCCCTCAAGGACTACTTTTTTATTGCTGTTTAACTAATTCCCATCAAAATCAAGAGGCATAAGGCATACCCTTATTCAAAAGGTGAAGTCTGCATTCTCAGTGAAGCCAGCAGCATGTAGGTGACCAATCGCTTCTGAAAATCTTGCTAAGAAACATTGCTGATCCCAAGTCCTTTTCCCCAGGGAATTATGCACAGAAGATCTTGCTTCCCAAATTAATGCTGAAATTTAAACTTTCCTGATCACAGTTCACCACAGAGGTATCTACACAGCAGTGGCTCTACAGTGGCCATCTGCTCTGGTTCCATTAACCAGCAGCAGCGATCCTATGAGTAATAGTTGATGTAACATCTTAGCTAAATAAATCACATCGTCCTCTAATCCCATGCCCAGGGACAGCATCTGCTCTTCCTTTGCTTATGAGATGGGGCTGGCTATGTGTGCCAGTACGTTTCCCCCCAAGCAACCTTCTCAGCAGCCCTGGGAGACTCTTCACTTACCCAGGTAAAATCACAGCTGCTAAGCCCCCTTTTTACAGCGATGGAAACTGGACTGTGCAGCTTTACCTACCCATGAAACACCCAGGTCCCACATTCATCCGCCTTCGTGATGTAATTTTCAGGCAGTAGCCCAGAACAGCCAGTTGCAAGGGAAATGCCATAAATCCAGCCCTCACTTGTACTGGTTTGTTCCACTGGGGACATGAAAATAAAATCCCCTGGGACCAGCTCCAGTTCATCATCATTCTGGGGGGTGTAAGGATAGATCACTTGCAGAGTCTGGGGGAAAAACAGAAGCACAAATGAATGAAAGGATTGTTAATGGAAAGGAACCTTTAGCAGAGTGGGGCAGGAGCACTCCCATACTGGGCCTTTAACCTTAGCAAGGTGTGAAGAGCTCTCCTTGTAATGCATCGCTTTGTGCTTTATCCAGGAAAGCTTTACCTTCAGGGAATTCCTGCCACTTCCTGCTCTTTGCCTTTGGAAAGCTTTTTTAGTTATTTACTGCTTCCTGCTTTGATTCCAGTTGTGTCTCTGATAACCAGGAGGGAAAGGGAGGGGATGATTTTTCAGAGTGAGCGAAAACATGACCATGTGCTTAAATCTAAGTGCCCTGTTAAAAATGGAAGCAAATTCTTATTGGGACGTGGAATTTACACAGTGGATGGTGACCATTTTTGGTTCATCTTCTCATGCTTGATTGGAAAGAGAAGTTCTCCTTGTTGCTGTTGCTTTTGAAGAGAAGGCAGAGACACTGTTGGGGAGGCTAACAGGTTTGACTCTCTGACTCCCTGCTCTCAAAACTGTTCAAGAGAATGCACAGGAAAAAGCAGAGGTGGTGAGAAACACTGGGATGTGGCCTCATTGTTTTATTCGTATTTCCTAACATGAACAAGATTAAGTTAGAAGGTGGGGGAAAGATCAGTGAGTGTAATTCTGTGATCTTCTTCTCACTGGAGCATGAGGAATCCACATGTATTAAATATCCATCAGTAACTTTCCTTGGAAATGGCTACAGCCGTCCCCCATTTAAAAGGAGAACAAACGTGTTATTGTCCCTGGCCAAACCTAACTTCTCCAATGGCATTAGGCAAACAAAACCCATCATCTGCTGAGCAGCTCTGATCGCCTGATGGTGTCAGCCCGTTTGCTCACTAATTCTCCTTAGACTATTTGTGCTATCTTCAAAGGAAGATGGAAACTAGTCACTGTCACCTGATACCACAAGGCCAGAACTTTCACACATGGCTGCCTGAAGTCAGATATGCAAAGATGTGAGCTGGTTTTCATCAGCAGCTCCTTCTGCAATCAGTGATAGTGTTGACTACTTGCAGCTTCTAAAGGACAAGATGACTCTGGATAGTAAAGGAGGCTGTCAGGCTTGAAGCATGGCCCGGGCTGGGTCAGAGCACCGTGCACGGGAGGCTTCAGCTCTCCAGAAGTTTTGGCATCTGTTTACTCTGTGGTGTATTGTGTGCTAGACTGAAATAATCTTTTCCCATTCTGCCACAGGTTTTGTGTGTCTCATTCTGGACAATGCACTTTGGTGGGGTTTATCACCCCAACCTTAGGAGTCTAATTAGCTGCCTAAGCCTGAGCAGGGACTTTCTGGAGGTTCCCTCCTCCAGAAGTTGATTCATCTCATCCTGAGATAGACATCTTAGGTAGGTCAGATGACTCACTTTCTGGAGGTGCCTGTTTCTCTGCACCGAGCCTCAGTGCAAAGGGAACCTCAGACTGGCTCAGACTTAGAGGTCTAACTTGGGAATATTTACAGGCAGGTTAGATGAATCTCACGTGTGGTTTCTCTACGCCCAAGATCCCAATCTACAAAATGGAAATACTGTGGTGTTTTTTTTTTTTTGCATATTGTGTTAGAAAACAGTATTAAGAAAACTATGTTAAGACACTTAGATACTGCAGTTATATAATCCATGAGTAAGTGAAGTATACAGGCCATGACGGTAAATGTTTCTTACATGGTGAAATGAAATGCTGTGACTAGTAATAATGTCAAGTCTGTACAGAAGAAATGGATAGCAGTCATGTTAAGATACTGGCCCCGGTTCTTGAGAGACTGGACCAGTTTACTCTGAGTGAACAGGAGAATCATGGTTAGAATTAATTAATCTGGCCGGACATTATTCACACAAGAAGCAATAAATGAGGTGTGTGAAACAGCAAGTCTAGACAGTATGAGTAAAAAAGGGCAAGATGGTCTGTGATCTTAACAGATGACTGGTGGGATGTGGGAGATTCTGGGTGTCCTTGTGGGACCTGAGGCAAATTCCTTAATGTCTGTATAGTCTGCACTGTGTATCCATACTGTTTGCAGCAGGGGACATGGGAGTCATTCAGCTCGCAGCTTGTGAGCACTCTTGAGCTGCAAATGCAGCTAAGACAGCCTGCAACTTTGCTGTTTTTTTTTTTTTTTTTTTTTTTTTTTTGGACTGAAACTAGCTCCAAAAAAATTTACCTCGTGATTAACGAAGCGTATGTCTCGGGAGAATATCGCGGCCACCCAGTCGCAGCCCAGCTTGACATCGATGTTCTGCGCTAACTTCTCCAGCGTGGGCAGGTGGCTGGTCTGGAAGTGATAGGCCAGCGTCACGTGTAGCTGCTTCTTGTGGGGCTCCACGTGAACATCTGCAACGAGAAGATGTCAGTTAACAACAAGCGACTGTCGCGATTAGCAGCTTTTCGAAGGTATAAGTGTGTCTATCGCCTCCGAACAGGAGCTGGGAGCTGAACTTTTCAAGATAGTTCAAGTGGAACAAATTGTAGGCTGGTTTATGAAAAGGTTTTGGGGAAGTTAAACGTGACTTCCCTATATATGTTGCACCTTGGCTTAAATTATTACAAGATTTTTGGTCTGATTCAGTCCTGAGTCACACCATGGTGGTAGACAAGGCATCCTTGCCAAACTGCCAAATGTCATTTGTATTCAGAGAACAATGGATTTCTGGATGGTGTGATAACAATTATTGTAATTCTGAACCCACTTCGTCTTCTGCCAAAAAAGAGAATTTTCCAGGAAAGAGGTGGACTTTCTTTCATTAGCAGATAAGGATCTCTCCAGAATAAGCAAGTTAAAAATCATAATTTTTACTCTCCCTCCTCTTTTCTCTCTCCTACAGAAGCAATTACAAATCCAAGGAATTTACAGGTTCACGTGAGTTGATTAGATCTTTTTCCTGCACATCAGTTACATTACCAGTTTTCCCCACTGAGGGTGAGGTATTCCAAAGTTGTGGAAACAGTGATATGATGACTCAAAATGATCCTCCAGAAAAAGAATTTTTATTGGAAGAAGATTCCAGGAAGCAGAAAGGTGAAAGTGTGTGAAATATTGGACTCTTCCAGTAGATGTGGAAATCATAGGATACGTTGTTTGCATGTAATTTATTCTTGCTTATTCAACCGAAAATTGCAATTAAATTTGACTGATTATTCAGTTAAAATTGCAGCTATTCAGAGACTTGGCTCCAAGAGCCAGCCAGAGGTAGCTCTGCAAGCTCATCCATCTTTTTTTTTGATCAGCAAGAAAAAATATGCTCTGCATCTCTGAAAAAGCCCCAGAGACTTTAATGTGATAACCTGACCAAGCTGTGGACTGCAGTGCAGCAATCGGCTTCCCCTAAGAAAAGAACCAGTTTGGTCTGAATTGGAGCAGTTGCAGGGGCAGAAGCTTGCTGGAAGTAATTGATGCTTCCTTCTTCTAGGCCAGTGTTTTTGGAGTAAGAACTGCCCCTTGTGACTGTGTCAGTTTGGAGGGTATGTCTGTGCTGTGCAGGGCAACACTTGTACCATTCTCGTGTGGCTGCATCAGTTCTTGGACCCGCCTAATGTCACTGTGCCTGTCGCTGCCTTCCAAAATGTGCATTTGTAAAGATAACAGCCATTTCCTCCCTCTTCTAAAGGGAAGAAAAACTCTAGGTCGCTGTCAGGAGAAAGCAATGCATTTCAGAGATGTGATGAACCCATGACACGTCTGTATCTCTTCCTTTGAACCAGGGGCAGAGACTTGTAGCTGTTCTGCATGGTGTTATGGGGTGCCTGTCTAGCACAGAAACACCCCAGGGACTCAGAAGTTGCTATATCTTGATGCACTTCAGCTCCAACATAAGCCTGTGATAATGCAGGACTAAACATGCTGTGCCTAGTCCATGCTGGGAACTACAGTGACGGCGTGTGGGAGGAGTAATCAGGGAGCTATTATAGTGCTCCAATGCTGTTCTGACTTCCAAGTTTGGGGGCAATCGGAGGGCACCTGGAGAGCCCATCAGAGCATGGGGTGCTCTGGTTATCTCCCCACTCCCGGCTCCTGACGGGTTCTCCCCTCCAGAAGCAGTAGAGGACCAGGCAATGAGCCAGACGTGTTGGTACTGAGATTTGAAGAAGTTTCCTTCTAGGTTGACAGGGCACTTGGGGTCTTCATCCAGAGTCCTGTTTGCATCTCAGAAATTCAGCAAACAAATGAACACGGGCTTTATATGGCTGAGGAAAGTTTTGTGGCAGTGGCTTGAGGTAGCGAGTGGAGCAGGAAATGTGTCTATCTGAAAGGTTAAGGAACCACCAAATGTCAACTTCCCTTTCAGGAGATAACACTTGAGACTAAGTGTGAGGTGAACTTTCAACTGCAAAAGAGCTGAAACCCAAAGCACCCAGTACAGTGTTCCTCTTTGGTTCTTAGCCTTCAGGTCACTTTTAAAAATCAGGTATTGGCTTAATGAGCTTCATTTCTTCATGCCATTAAAACTTTGGTTTCTGAAAATGCCCAAGCCTTGACCAAGCCATGAGCTCTTTGTAGCTGCCAGCATAGTCACTCACCTGCTTTAGAAGCAGCCTCTGCAGCAAAGTCTGCAGCAAACTTCTTGAGCACCTCAGCACTTTCTTCCTTGACAAAAAGCCCAATGAAGTTTGAGGACGTGTAGAGCTCCAAAGGCAAAGGGGCAGGGAATTTGCATTTCCACCGCATCACCGTGGCCTGCAGAGCTTCAGTGAGAGCATCGACCTTGCTGTCCTCACACTGCCAAAGGAAACAGGACAAGCATTTCTCAGGTGGCTAATCATTCCTTACCCCCGTGCTTAACTCCCTACTGCAGTGGGTAGAGGAAGGAAAGGCTTGGGTGGGTGGGCGTGAATGGTCTATCTTTGCTGTAACCCAGTGAGAAAAAGCACAGGGTCATAGAAAAAGGTATGTTTAGAAGTCATCTGCCCCTCTCTTGTCCTCAAAGCAGGACCAGCTATCCCCAAGTAACCTTCCTAACCTCACCCCTCCCTATGCTGTCTATTCTCATGTTAACGATCACTTGAGATGATGAGAGTTTAGTCTTCTGCTGCTGAAAACAACCCACTTAAAAACCAGTTACGTCCTCAACAACCCCCCCCAACCCGTGAGCACAAACCCTTCTGCAGTGACTGAAGGAAGCGTGTAACATCTCCAGTCAGAGCCTGGCGAGGGCTGCTCATGAATGCATGCATAAAGGCGACGGAAAGAGGAGCTCTGGTTTACCATGAAGAACTGGCAAAGGGTGATATGTGGGAAAATGTTGTGAGCTTTGTTCTTCCCACAGATCTGCTTTGACTGCTGCCAGAACTCAGACAGCTTCTGAGCCAGGGGGCCGGTGGGGCGCAGGTAGAGGACGTATTCCCGAGGCAGGGTGTCATCGAGGAATGGGTCACCCACATGGGAGAACAGCCTGAGAGGGAGACAGAACTGTTAGACTGACAGATAAAGACATCTTATTTTTTCAGAAAAATCAGCTTCCCTATCACTCCCTTTTGTTCTCCCATTATGGAAAAAATCAGCTCCGGCAGGTCAGGCAGAGGTGCACTATCTCACTTGCAGCCCATTACCATTACTAAGTAATATAGAAAATTGGGTTTTAGTTTCAGACTGAGGCTCTGAAGATCTAACCCAGGTCACTGCTTCTGCCTTTCTGACTTTCGGTGTATAAAACACGGGGAGGAGAGCACTAGAAATTGCTCAACATCTTTGAAAAGGCAGCTCTCAGTTTTCTGTTTAGATGCTAGGGTGGAGAGAGTAGTGGTTCCTTTCTCTTACCTTTTTTTGCTATTAGTCAAGATCACAAACTCTCTCAGACAAGGCTTGTTTCTGGTCTGCTTATTTACAGCACTTAATGGCTCAATAATTTTGCTAGTGTTTTTCAGATAAAACATGTTTTACGTGTTTTATACAAAACATAGTGGTTTTCATTCCACGTTCTAATGGCGAGAGTCTTAGATGTTAAATTCACTATTTCTTTTACTCTTTTTAACATTTATTAGTTCATACCAACCAGTCGCATGCTGCTTGAACACTTCTTCCACCTGTAGATGCCAGTGCTTTTTGTCTGAAGAGAGAACAAAATAAAAAGAATATTTCAGTGATGCTGGATTATATGGCTATAGTCACATCTATTGCTTGAACCTGGGTCCTTGCTGGGGGAGGGTTGTAATGGTGTTTTTAGAAACCTGCAGAATACTCTTTTCAGACTGATTCTCTCAGCCCTGGGCTTTTCTTTCAAACGTGCTGCCTGTCAAATAGCTGTACGCAGTTTGAGGGGCAAAGTCATGCAATCTATTTAAAGTATGAGAGATGGACCTCTGGGTTTTCCCTGCTTGGCCTGGTGTTTTTCTGGGCAGTGAAGCACTGGCTATTGGCATTTAATAACCTCTTTACTGGTCATTTGCTCAGCATGAAAATCAAAAAGTTTGGGTCTGGAATTGCAGACATTACAATGGCACTGAGGACAAGAAAAATTCAACTGCCACGAGGGGGCACAAACCAGAGATTTTTCAGGTTACAATAACTTGCCAATATTTGCTAGCTCCCTTCTGTCCTTGATACGCTGAAAGTGCTCTTTTGCTGATTTCCCTTCAGGATGCGTGTAAATCCCTTTTCACTCCAGCTAGGAAGACTCAAGTCTCCCGTTCAGCAAGTTTTCTGGTTGCAGAACAAGCCAGCGCAGTGCTGTTTAACTTGTAGGCATGTAATAGTGTTTTCCAAATGCTTGACATCAGCACTGAAATGCAGCTGTGGATCAGCTCAGCTTTGTAACGCTAGAGACTGCCAAAATGAGGAATTCACCCAGAATCCAAATGGCCTAAATATTTAGCAAAAAGGATAGAAACGTTAGGGTCGTGGAGCAGAAATCAGGCTCTCCAGTTGGGTATCAGGAGGCAAATCCCTCACGAATTTCAAGATGATTTCAGAGCTTCCTACTTTAAGGGAAGAAGGGCAGTATTGCTCTCAAACAAGTACTACAGGTCTGGTAGGAAGGAGGACAAAATGAACAGGATGCTGGTTTAATCTAATAAACTAGCACACACTTGAACAAAATGGTGTGGGTGGAGGAAGGTCTGAAGAGCAAGAAGCCTTCACAGAAGGTGAGAGTGGGGTCTCCAGGCAGCTGTCCCCCAAAGCCAGGAAAGGGATTCTGCAGATGGGCAGTGCCAGAACAGGATCTACAACCTACAGAGCCACCACGCTGCACCGGTAGACAGGGGTGCCTTCCCTAGCAGAGAAATGCATTCGGGCTGCCATTTGGTGTGGGAAGCACAAGCAGGAGGACAGCACAGGGACTGGTGAAGGTGACAGCTAGTTGTGGTCTCCTGGTGTTAATTTGGCCGAAGCAGCTGCCTGCCTTCTGCTCTGTGGGTTATATGCCATGTCTGAGAGTTGCCTGCTCTTAGCGACAGAAAATCTGACTGAGGACAGGAAAACTTCTAGTTTACACCAGCCGCAACCTAATCTTACTAAATATGGTGTGTTACAGCTTGGTAACAGTGCAAAAGACTTGCTGATATCTTTAAGCTAGAGGGAACGTGTCTGACCAAAGGGACAAGATCAATGTACTATGCACCCTGTGTTATCTGCTGGTTGGTTATAAGAAGAGGGTCCAAGTGAGGAAAAAGGGTCGTGACTCTGGGGTCCAACCCACGTCTCTAGGATCAGGGCAGCTGGGACCCGTCAGCATTTCTTGTTTCTGCCCATAGCACTGTGTAGGGTATTTACTGCGCTTCTGTCGCCCTTTCTGTCCACGGTGATGCCTTTCGAAAGCACTCTGATAACCATGTGGGAATATGCAACGTTACCCACCAGCTCGTACACATGTGTTGTTGACTCAGCTGTGTTTCAGCTCTGCCCTTGGCTTCCCCACCCCTTGAATATACATATTTCTGTTAATTTTGAGAGTAAGAGGAAGGCAGAAAGATAATGCTGCAAAAAAGGGCTGTGTTGCAAATGTGTGATTATGAAAATACTTCCTCCTGAAGCATTTTGCTGCCCTTATCTGCCAGCATTCATCTGAGATCAGCAGAGTGCTAGTCCAAGCACCTGCCTTCTGGAAGGATGTATCTTGCGTGGTCAACATCGTAGTTGGGTCTGTTCTATCTTGCTGACCTTTCCCTAGTCTGGCTCAGATGCACTATGAACAACAGCCGCTACTTTGCTTTGAAAAGTGGTTCAGACAAGAGCAAAGAGCAAAAAGCTCTCCCCTTACGCAGGCTGGGGACCTTTCAGGGAGGCTGCTCCTTGAGCAGAGCGATGGCCGGTTGCGGATTTCCCCTACCCTGGTTTCATTGTCCCTTTCTGTTAGGTTGCCTTTGCTCAGTTCACCTCCCCTCTTGCCTGGGTTGTTTATGCTCTTTAAAACACGACTAAAACCTGGCTCTCCTGACCATGTATCTTGCCATTCAAGTGTGTCTGTGTTGCATCCCAGGCAGTGCATTTAAAACACCCTCCCAGTAAAGCTGTGGCTTGAAATGAGCAGTTTCTCCCGTTGCAAAGCGAGGGCAGGCAAGCTGGCTCTCACTTGTTATTTACTCTCCAGACCCCAGAGCAGATCTCTGAAGGAGTCATGCACAATCTAGCAGGACAGACGGTTCTGCCACCCACCCTTGTTGACTCGTTCGCTTAATGAATTGATGTTTCCTTGGAACAAATCGCACAATAGAGCTCTGCTGGAATTGACTGCAGCTCCTTCTCTGCTGCCTTTGTGCTCCTGGGACCCCAAAGGGCGGTAGAAAACATTAGGCTGGGCCCCATGCACATTTGTTCATGTGTGATTTCAAAAGGTGCCTATCTCTTCCACAGGGACAATAAATTCCCTTTTCAATTTAATTTTCAGTGCAAGGAGGAAATACTGCATAAAGCAAACAAAAGCCAAAGTATATTTTTATCAGGGGGGCTGAAGCTTTTTTTTTTCTTTATTTAGTGCTGGGAATGGTGATGATGACTGATAGCCTCTGGTTAGTCAGAAAACAGGGCATGCAGTCCATCCTTCCCAAACACCCTCCTCTGTAGCCACCAGCCAGAACCTGCAGAGGACCCATTCTCCAGGTGCTCCAGCCCCACGGCCCTGTCAAGATCAACTTTTGAAAAGTTGACTACTCAAAACTAGACACAGCTATGTTTTGCCACTTTCAAAAATGGCCTGATTTTCACAACTGCTGAGTGCAGTGGGAGCTGGAAGACATATTCTGCTCCTGAGAAAATCAGGTCACTTAATTAGGTGACTAGCTATAGCTTAGGTACTCAGATTTACTCATGCTGGGTAGTAAGTGTTGGCTGTAGTACTGTAGCTAATGGTAAGAAGTGGTTTTGTGATGCAGATACACCAGAAAAGAAAAAAAAAAAGTGAGAAAATAACATATTTTTCAGAATCTAACAAACTGGCATCACACATTAACCATTTCTGGTCATGCCTAAGTTGCAGTTGGGATTCAGATTTGAGGTGAAAGGCTCTGTGCAGTATTAATATTTCCTCAAGCCACCCAATTCCTCTATCTCTTAACTCGTGCTGCCTCTGAGATGAAGTACAGGGAAATCATTTAACAATGCACAGCAACACGCAATAACTATTTTGAACAGACAACAGGGGAGATGCTATGTCCAACTGCAGGTCTGGAAATGAAGAGTTATGGGAAGGGGAAAGAAGATCCCAATACCAGTGTCTCCCAAAAGGGCTGCAGGTATTTTAGCCACTGCAAAGAATTGGATGTTTTTGATTCTTCAACCTCAAAGGCTTCCCTGTGACACTCACCAAGTCACAAGGAAAGTCTTCCTCCACTCAATCACTGGTTAAACAGTGCCAAAATATCACTAGGAAGCGTCCCAGCTAAACAGTTGACCCCTCAGCCTGAAACATTACAGAAGAACCCGTGTTGCTGCCCTGGCACATATATTAATGCGTAAATGGTGCCCATTTTAATTCCGGCCCACTTAATGAGCGAGCACACAGCTCTGCTGGCTGCAGAACTTAACTCATTACTGTTGAAGGATTTTTGTCTTCCTGCAATTTTAAGGTAGGAAAAAAAGGTGACAGGGGAATGTCAATTCAGCTAGGAAAATACGTATCAATGAACATAAAGTATAATGGCAAAATCCCATTTACTTCAGAGGAAATGACTGTAATGGGGATTGATGCATTATAACCATAAAGAGAACCTTCAGTCTCAGAAGCACCACACAGAAATCCTTCCTCTGTAAGTGCTCAGCTTCCTTACTCTAGCCCGGTGCAAAAAAGGAGGGTGTGTATGTCTGCCAGCAGTGCCGTAGTGCGCCGGGTAACGAACTGCCATGCAGGAAAGCCAATGCAAACAGCACAAGAGCAAGGGATGGAGGTGAACGGTTTTGAGATAAAGTTCTTTATCTGCACCTGCATGATACCGTATCGCTAAAAAGGCATGCCAGTGTCGGGGTGTCGATGCCCGCAGCAGCGGTCAGCCGACGGCCGTGCGGGGTGGCCGTGCGGGGTCCCCAGCCCCGGCGCGGCCCGGCGGGGCTGCGGGGCCTGGCATGTGCAGGCCCTCAGAGCAGGGCCCGCGGCAGGCAGTCGCTGCTCCTCCTCACACGTTCAAATACACCGAGGCTGAGTCACGCAGCTGGTCTGGACCCTCGGGCCCGGAGAGCCTGTTTGTTCTCCAGAAGCAACATCTAATTCATAGAAAGTTGGCCCCTCTGGCTGCCGCTTAGGACTGAATTTCCCCGTTTCCGCTGGCTCTCCCTTTGCTATAATAAGCCTAGGTTCAAACCCTGCCGTCGGCAGAGCTGGCCTCCCTCAGTTCGTAAGGGGGAGCTTGCTCTGCTGTGTGTTGCCGCTCACAGAGGCAGCAGAAAGTGCTCGGAGCAGTCTCTACCTCAGATCCACCTACGAGTTGTCTGCCTACGGAGGCACCAAGGGATTTGTGAATGAGCAATGGAAGGATGGAGGCAGCCTGTAAAAGAAAGGGAATGACTAAATCCTTCCTTTCATTATGTGCCTCAAGCCTAGACAAACTTCTTATCCGTGAACAAAACCCCTCGGAGAGATGAATTCATCATTTCAAGTAGCCCTGAATCTTTGGCCCA